TCGGACGCTAGTCTTAAAGCATATGGGGCCATCACATATTTCTGATACCATACGAGTGATTCAGAAATTAAAACTTCCTTTATCATGTCGAAATGCAGGGTTGCACCAATAAGAGCAATCACACTTCCTCGTTTAGAGTTAATGGGAGCACTCGTGGCTGCTTGAATGTATAAATATTAAAAAAAATTGTTTGGTGATTTAATTGAAGATATTTATTTTTTTAGTGATTCCGAAACCGCCATTACTTGGATTAAAGATTCGCCAAATAATTGGAAACCATTCATCGCCAATCGTGTTACAGAAATACAGAATATCGCTCCACTTCCTCAAGACAGAATCCAAGAGTCGCCTCCACTTGCTGTGACTGGGTTGGACTTCGCCGGTCCATTTTTTACGAAAGATAGGCAAGGTAAAGTTTACATGCTGTTGTTAACGTGTGCGGTCACTTGTGCCTTACATATAGAGATAGTAACTGATCTCAGCACTGAAAGTTTTTTTGCTAGCTTTCCGAAGATTTTTAGCTCGCCGAGGACTGTGTACCACCGTGTACTCCGATAATGCCAAGACTTTTAAAAGAGCTGACAAAGAACTGAAACATATTTTTCAAAACTTTGAGTGACTCATCTGTGAAAGAATTATTTTCTGCTAGAGGCATAAATTGGAAATTTATTATTGAGAGGGGTCCATGGTGGGGAGGGTTTTGGGAACGTATGGTACGAACCATAAAATCCAGCTTACGCAAAATTATTGGTCGATCATCCCTTACTGTGAAAGAGCTTGAAACAGAGGCAATGATTAATTGAAGACCAATTACCTACGTGTTTACCGATCCCAATGAACCTTCTCATTTTTTGGTTGGTAGACAATTCTATCTCTGCCTGCTAATAAAATAACATCAAATAATTTAATTGGATCAAGAAATTCAATTATTAAACGATATAAATACCATCAAGATATTTTAAATAATTTTTGGAAGCGTTGGAGATCAGAGTATCTTTTTAATCTGAGGTCTGCCAATATTTGTTCTCCACACTCTAACGCATCTCAGTTTAAAATCAACGATATTGTCTTGATTCATGACGATAAACATCCCAGAAATCTCTGGACAATAGGGAAAATTTTGGAATTAATGCCAGGTGGAGATGGTAAAATAAGATCTTGCATAATTAAAACACCTACTGGTACCTTAAAAAGGCCTATATAATTGTTATATAATATGGAACTTAACTAATGTTTGTATTTTTAGGTTTGATTCTCCTGACCTTGCTGATAGGTATCATTTAATGCTTTGTAAAATTTATATGCTTATAATTATGTATGCATGTTTTTTATATTTAACCATTTCTCTAGGATTGATTGTCGAAATATTAATTGAATATTAGAATATATTATTGAAAGATGAACTCTCCACTGAGTTCAAGTGGGGAGTGTTGTGTAATTTGAAGGAAAGGGCTAGAGGGCGCTGTTGCTCGCATAGTTAAAAAAAGGATAAAGTTTCTTCATGTTGAAGGCAGCGGCCTAAGAATACGTTCTGTATATAGTGAATTAAAATATTATTAAAAATGTAAAAGTGTTAAAATTAGTAAATTCACTGAACCATCATCATCTGATTTGGAAATGCAAAAATTATTGAAAACTATTAGTACCAATGAGAAGAGCAGTAGCACATGAGTTTCACATGCCCTGAAGGTGATAATGACCTAGGAATTTGATCCTGGGTCTGTGTCATGCGAGTCAAATTCTCTACCACTACGTGATCGCTACAGTGGTGACCTGGACATGATTGTTACTTATGTGTAACATTCCATTTTTAATACATTTATTAAGTATAGTAATACTTCAGTTAACCTTATTAATCCATTCCAGGGCCTTGTACATGTACCAAATGGACTTTCCCACTAAGAAATATAAAGGGAAAATAATTAATTCATTCTTATAAAAAATCTTACTGTTATTATTATAAAACTTTCATAAAATACAAATGCAGTAAATGAAATATATACTGCACAGAGAAGCACTACGAGTGATACAGTACGTATTTGTTTTTCTGCTGTCCAAATCAAAACAATTTTTTCATAATTTCTGATGTTTATGAGCTTTGGTAATCAATTTTACTCCCTTTGCAACATTAGTTGACTGAATACCACCTTTGGTTTTTCAGAGCTGTAGACACCATCATACTTGGTATATAGTAAGCAATACCCCAAGTCCCAGATGCAATCTTCATTATTTCAACAACCTTCTTTTTTACCCTTCGTCTCCGTGGCGATCCTAACCATTTTTTTTATTACTTGACTCTTCTCACTAACTTTCCTAAAACTCATTGTAAATGAATTCACAAAAAAATTTCGGGGGGGAAACACAATCAGTAAGAAACAAACAAAAAAATTACACCCAAAGGTGCATTATTTAACGTTTTGTGTGTTACCTTTATTTATTAAATATCATGTTCTTCGCACTTGAAGCATAAAATTCAGTGCAACAGCAATATCACAAACTATTTAAAAGAGCATATCTTTAGAATTTCTGATACACAGTCTCTCGTGCTAAAGATAATTTTTTTTCCAGTGTTGCCATTGCTTACTTTGAAATCATTGTTTCTTAATCAAAACCTCATAAATGCTGTACAAAATATGTAATAAATAATAACACAAATTCCAAATTTGGGCTTACAGATGCCCATATTTGGATGGAGATGTACGTTATTCAAAACTAGATGACTCTAGGTACCGTTATTTTTATCACAATGCGAGAAACATACATACATTTATGCAGATTCTTCATTATTTAATTTCTTTTAACTAAATAGAGGGTTCTAATATTTGATGGCAACAATTTCAAAATTGATTCGCCATTTATAGTGAATGAATGCAAAATGCCAAAATGAAATTAATAGTCCTTCTATGCAAATTGCCCCTTTGGGCTTTAAAAAAAAAAAAAAAAAAAACATGCAAATTCCGAGTTTTAATGCAAGTTGTTTACTGAACATGATGCAAATGATGTACTAATGTTCGTGGGCAGTTGTAGCATTGTTTCGAAAGGAGTAAACAAGTGTAGTGAGCACAGTTGCGACTCATTGAACTGGAGGTGTAAATTAAATAAATATCACATACCAATGCATTACTAAACATAATACTAATACCAATACATATACTAAACAATTTCACATCCAAACAGAATGTAAACCACGTTAAGACCTATTTCAAAGCCGATATACACCAAAATACCACCACACTTTACAGCATGGAGGTTCAATTATGATGAAAATGTGTTTTCTTTCAATTTCTTAATAAAGCCGTCTTCTCAAAGAATGTTGCATCTTAAGGCTCTAAATAGTCTTAATTGAGCCTTAAATTTTGAATTCAGAATATGGAAATAGTATTGCAAAGTTTCCCATAAATTTATTTGATTCTTCTTTCTTGTTATTTTGAATAGGGAGGATGCAGTCAGCCTGACTCCACCTCCTTCCTGCTATGCCCTAAAAATGATTGAGATCTAAATAAATGTACGTGCATTTTTTGAATTTTGGAAAGGGATGGGAGGCATGATATTCTAGCAATGGTGAAAATGATGTACAGAACAATAAAATAAATAATTAAAAAAAAAGTTGAGAAGTTCTGTTTTGAATATTAGTTTCCTTTTCCTCAATTTTGATAATTCTGTCTCTATATGCATGTAGCAAATCTTAAACATTCTTACAAATTTTCAAAATCATTATTTATTATAAATAATATAGTTTATTTTATCAAAATATAGGTTTATATAACCTTTTCCAATACTTCAATATTTTATAACTACATACAAACTTATGATTACTTCACATTTACAACATTATACTATGGAGATAGTAAAATATGTATTTTAAACTGCATAAAAACTTTTTAAAATCAATTGTATCTATTTTTAAAATGATTTCTAAATGCAAAAAAGTACAGAATTTGCCTAAAATTAGAATGTGATATTAGAGGGCTCTGAATAAACCAAGAGTGAAATTACCACGAGTAAATTCTGGAGATGCTAACTTTTGAAGAGAGCTATCAATAATACTAAACTGAATTAATCAGCAATATTTAATCAAATCAGTAATATTAGTAATTTTTTTGTCACAAACTTAATTCCTTATAAGAGTGAAGAAATCAATAATAATTAAAGAAAATCTATAAAACCTGGCATCTTCAAATTTCAAATTAAACGAATTTTTGATATTATAGTCCCTGAAATCAAAACTTTGAACTTTAACACAATCTTTTCAAAGCAGTTTAAAATCATTTAGAATTCGTGTGACCAGGTAAATATTATGTCATTTGAAACATAAAATCTTTAATTTAGCTTCCTCATGCCCTTGCAAATAGCCCTTTTCCGAAGTGTTAACTGTGTCCAGTTTGGAGATAATTAAATATTTTATATTTATTATGAAGTTTATTTAATTAAATATTTTATATTTATTATGAAGTTTATTTAAATGGTCTGAATTTAGTTTCAAGTTTCAGATTTAAAAATTAATAATGGAAGAAAGTGATAATCTCTTTTTTAAAAGTCAGTTTTGCATATTTTAAAAATTACTAAAATCAAGGAGAGATTTTAGTGTCATAGAATAGCCTACATTTCCACTAAATAATTAAATATATCTGATTACAATTTGGGCAATGTGTGTAGCACAAAAAACGGCATTTGCTTATAATAAGTTTTACAGCTTTTCATTTATAAATTGAAATATGTAAAATACTGTTTTATAATATTTGACACAAAAACTTAAAATAATTAACTGGATGCATCAAAATTTCTTGCCTATTGCAGATAATAAAATAAGTTATTCAACCTCCAGATTGGTAATGAATAATATAAACTTGCAACTTTGAAGCAGATCTCAAAAAAATTAATTAATTAAGCTGTGATGAAAAACTGCAGTGGACAATGTTATAAATGTTAATGTATAAATAAACTTAAAATTATAAGTTTGCATGTAGAGGCTCTGCTTTTGAAAAAGACAATACAAATCAAACATTTTCTGTATTCAAATTTTTAATAATAAATTTAGAAGCAGTGGATTACATTACAAAATTCTTAGCAAACAAAAGTATTACACAAGTGACAAGACATTCATAGACTAGAAAATGTATCACAGAAAAGTTTAAACATAAATATATAAAAAGTGTAATAGTTTCTTTTTCCCTTCTGTTCTTTTAAATAATTCACCATCAATACAAAATATAATTTAAAATTATTATCAAGGTAACTACAATACAAGATTAGAAAGCTCTAAAAAAAATTTTTTTTTAATTTTGATCATTTGAAAGTGTGGTTTACATGAAAATATAAAATGTGAACCAACCACAGTTTTCAAATCGAAAATATCATACCCTCATAAAAATTTTCCACTTTTTTTTAGTGTTAATGCAGAACACAATCTACATGCATTTGAATTTTGTATGTCTTAAATATATTTAATTTTTTTACAAAATAAAACATAATAATTTATTTGTTAATGTTGGTAATAAGAAATTATGGAACATTAAAAAGCAATTTTAAAGAAAGAATGAAATTCTATAGCTATTTAGTGGAAGCATTTAAAATACATACATACATATATGACAAACATTTGCTAACTGAATTGACAGAAGAGAAATAAAAATATTTTTAAATATTAAATAGAGTTTACAGTACTCAAAAAATAAATATGCCAAACATCTAAATTGAACTGAAGACAAAACAAAACAGCTGGGTAAAAAATTAGGGAAAAGGGGGGGGGCAAAAAAGTTCAACACATTCAAATAAAATTTTTAATTAAAATTTAATAAATCATTTTATGCATTCAACATTCAAATTCTCATTTATATTTTAAAATGAATACAAAAAACCGGAAAATGTTAAAATTGCAGTTGAATATTGTGCATTTAATTGTGTATGTGAAGAATTTTCTTTTAAGCAGATAATATTAAATATGCTCTGGTTAAGATAAAATATATACAGAATATATCTACAGAGTACATTTATCACCATTCATGGAATGATACTCTTAAAAGCACTACACATTTAACGAAAATTCTCTTTACAGTCCAAGAGAATTTAATTTGATTGTCTTATCATGGAAAGTTTAAAACACACATTTGCTTCCAATCATAAATATCTCAAAAACTGAAACATCACAATTATATAAGTAATTTTTAATTAACAGCACTCACAATGCATGATTCTATTTTTCTTAGAAAACTATAAAAATAATACTACATGTAAATTATGTAAAAATATGGGTGACTTCAAAGCTTTTCTCATGTGAATTGCACTTTATATGTTCTAAGAGTGACTAGGCATGATTATGCATTGATATTATTTAAATATAATATAAAGGAAACAGCCAGATGCAATTAAAATATCATATAACACACCAAAAAAATTTCATGCTAACAGTTGAATATATTCCTATATTATTTTATACAACATCAGAAATTTGTATTTTACAAATAATTTATATCTTCTAAAAACTGCATCAACAAACTTAAATTACTCATATAGAATTCAACAATTCATAAAAATTTCTTAAACTTAAGGATTTAAAATAAATTAACATCAGAAAGAAAAGAATATCAGTGCGTAAAGATGAATGTGGCACAGCTTTCAAACGCATATGTGGCACTGTATACTTTTTACTTTAAAATATGATAAAATATTGTTGACTGTTTATGATAATTACAGTCTTCTGATTAAAATACAAACCATGACTACACACATGAGAATTTTAAATGTATTAAGATAAATAAGGAGGTGGACGGCGAATCAAATTTTCCAACTCCTTCTGTTTCTTTAGTAGTCCCTAGGAGATTTAAAGAAAAATAAAAAAAGTTCAAAACTATTTTATCAATTTGTACACATTGCACATTTCAATGATTCTCATTTATGATATCACAATAAGCAGAGTATCATAATTAATTTTTGTTAAATAATAACTGTATTAATTGAAGTAATTTGCATACTTAAAATTTTTTAAAATGGCTATGATAAATTTTATCTATGTGATTTGTAATAAGTTTTAACATTCCTGACTCAAATAATAATATTATTATTATTACATAATTTAAGTTTTTAAAATAATTATACTTAGATAAGCATAAAAAGAATAATTCAAAAAATTTTTGTCACGTCAAATATTTGTTTTCATTTCATTTTTACATAATTCTCAAGAACTTTCAGATTACATCTGCAACTTTTTCAGCATTTTTTAACTCTCAACTGTAATTTCAAACATTTGACTCATTACATTTCCCAACTATAAAGTGCATGCTTGTAACAATATAATAAATAACTTCTGAAAAAGATTGTTATGAATTTACAAGGAAAACTATAATGAATAGATTATATATTATTTTTTGGTAATAATTTAACATCCTCATGAATATTTTAAATAATTCATATAGTTTATGATATGCAATAAAAATTATTATTAAACTAATAATATGCATTTAAAGCTATGTTTAAAGGCCAGTATTAAATAAATTCAAAATTGAAATATAATTTTTCACTAGTTTTTACATAAAAATACATTTTTAATTACTAAAGGGCTATATTCAAACACTTGTAAAACAATTTATGACTGTAAAACAAAATTTTAAAGTAGCTAAAGTATTATTTCTTTCAGACTTGTCTTTGAAAATATGGACTACTAAAGTATGGAATATGATAATATAAACGAAGTTCAGAAACACAGATTAGACAATAGACAAAAGTAAGCAAAGTTTACCTGTCTCAAAGATGACAAGTTTTGTAAAATCCTGTCCTGTCGTGGTGTGGGCCTGCCTGTTACAACTTCAGGACACACTAGAGGATTCTAAAAATATAATTAAAGTTTTTTTTTAAATACAGATTAAATATAAAATAATTTAAACATCAATTAACTATCAACATAAACATTATTAAGAATTAAAAGCACAGAGAAATATTGTTTTCTGTTACTAATTAAATATCAAAATTTTCCACACACAGATATATCTTTTCATCATGTTTCATTTCATTGCCCTATGCAGATACTCTGATTTTTAAAAATTAAGGTTTGGAATAATACGCTTCAGTCAACCAATCATATTTTTTTTGCTTTTCAACCACTAAGCAAATTTATCTCAACATAGTTCAGATTTATGTATATTATGAGTGGACATGGAATTGTCATTGCCTTCACCAGCTGAGGTTCATGCACATAGTTCATTTTCAACTTTCACATGACCTTTAAAAGGCAAGCACTAATCATTTACTCCGTACTTTGCGAGAGATAGGCACTTTCAAACTGATTTTTTAAACTATGGAGGAGACCTTTGTTAGTAAAACATGTAATGATGATTCACTGTTATGAGCCTCCTGCTCTGACACGCTAATTACAACTAACAGATGTGATGAAAAGATAAATTAGCACTAATATTGACAAGTTCAAAGATGCATGTGTTTGCAAAATGTGTCATGATTACATTGACCTTTTTACATGAATAGAGCATGAAAGTCCCTGTTTGTATCTGAATATCACTGGTATTAATCAAATTAGATCAAGTACTAGTTACATGATGGCCTCCAAATATTTAAAAACTGTGTTTATACCTTCAAAATCTATTGCCTTGCTTGCTGTTATAACTGTTCCTCTCACAGATATCCTTTCTTTTCTAAATACTACAGTTTTTCAATAAATTTCATATATAGATTGTCAATTATTGCAATAATTCATCCTTTATTTTAAGCAAAAACATATCAGAAAAAAATATTTTGCATCACACAGTCAATCAACTTGTGAACGCAAAAGGTTCTTGCAGAAAATAAGTGCTATTCCACTGGAGAAACAAATGACAAGATAATGAAACATCCTTGTGTCTGTATTAATTATAATGTATGTTGTATGCAAGAAGTTTTTCCTAGGGATTTACTTTATTGAAATATTCACTTTATAAGTTGACAGGAACTATGTCTGCAATAAAATTTACGTATACTTGTATGCTTTTCCATAATATATATAAAACTAATAAAATTTATGACTTTGAAATAATTAAATCTAGATTCAAAAATATTATAAGAATTTTTGTTTAAAACTTATTTCTTACAGTAATCAGAACATTTATCCCTTTTTTAGAGTTATTTTTCTCAACAATATTAGTTACATATTTAAAAATAACTAAATAATTTATATTAGAGGAAGAACTACAATAAACCATACAAACCAAGCAGTTATAATATCATATTTATAGCTTAAATTTTTGGAGTAGCAGTAAGACATAAGCAGTTGCATGAGAAATGACAATAAACTGATGATGTGCAGCAGTCACTGTACATGTTACATGGTTGTTACCATTATACAATATTAGCTACATGAATGTTACAATATTTAGTTACATGAAGTACCGTATTTGACGGCATATAAGACGCACCCTTATTTAGAAGGCCACACACATGTAGATGTAGAAAAAGTTATGTGTGTCTAGACCTTTATCCAGGCTAAAAATAGCATTCAGTATTGAAAGTTAACTTGTGTCCTTCACGTGTGTCACTGTTAGCCTACTATTATTATACCTATTATATCTACTATAATTATATCTAATAGATATATTAATCAAAATATCGATATACTATTTTATATTATGTGTTATATTATACTATGTACTATTTTGAATATTACTTTAAAAATAAACTGAAGTGTAGTGGGACTATACCTACATTACTTATAGTAAACATTGGGTGTCCCACTACATTTCCACCTGAACCTGAACCTGTGTCCTTCACGTATAAGACGCAGGTAACTTTTATGAGACCAAATTTAGGAAAAAAGTGCGTCTTATATGCCGTCAAATACGGTAACTACTACTGTTGAGACTAATACTTCAACAATATTAATTACATTTTTAGACATTTAACTAAGAAATTTTACACCATGTATCATGTTTCAGTAATGCATAAAAATATGTATGAATGAGAAAGATACCTGATTAGCAGATTTACCCCTTGAACTTCCAGCAGAGGAAGCAGATGCTGCTTCACTTTTCTCACTACTTTCAGCCGAAGAAGCTCGACTGCCTTCAGCTACTCGAGACCTGACTACACTTTCTAGGTCAAAACTTTCTTGGTCACTCCATTTACGTCTCTGAGGTGGATGCGGTGGTATTAGTTCATAATGAAATGATTCTCCAAGTGTTCTAGGATAAACACCAGGCACATGAGGAGGTGAAAATGTATGACAGTTAGTAACAGGATAAAATGTTTCTTGGCTGTGCCATTTACGGCGCATTGGTGGAAGGCTGGCACCTCCACAAGAAGGTAAAGGAAAACTGTCAATCCTTCTGGAAGGTGATGGTTCAGAACCACCAATGATGGATGGAAGATTATCTGAACTTTGTGATTCTCTTCGATGAAGTAATGATCTAGGCAAACGACTATTATGTGATGGGCTGTAACTAAAATATGCTATAGTCTCAGCAGAACCACACTCCGAACGGAAAGCAGATGGTTGATGATAGCGAGGTGTTGAATTACTCCTGAATGGTCGATAGGATCTGAAGGCAAAATGAGTAATTATCAACATATCATTTATAATCATTGTTTAATAATTCTAATTTTATATAAGATTATTTTTCTATATTGCACACTTTTAAACAAAAGAAAAGTTTATTACTATATATTAATTAAAACTGGAAAACTGAAAGAGAATAATATAACCTGAATGAAACTGTTCAATATTCAGACCATACAATATTAGGTTTATTAATCAAGATGCATACATAACCACTTCTCAGACATAAATATAAAATAATATTAATGGTTTGGGAAAATTTATAAATTTTATATTTAAATGAAAATCATCTTTTTTATAATAATAAAATATCCAATATTTACATGCTAATATAGTTTGTAGAAGAATTCTGCTAGGTATTTTTATTGAATAACTAAAAACAAAGAGCAACTGGTGATACTTATCGGGTATCTTGGTCTTGTTCTTATTTTCAACTGGTGATTGCAAATTTGCTATAAGTATATTCAAAGTAATTTTAAGTTTTCATAATACATAGTGTTTCACAAGATAAATCTCCAATCAAACACATTTTTTTAGAAGCATAAAATGAAGTTTACGAAATAGAATAACATGGAGATGTGGAACCACATGCAGAAAGTGCTACAAATGTTCCCTGTAGCATTTTTCAAGTTTTCATAATACAAAGTGTTTCACAAGATAAATCTCCAATCAAACATATTTTTTTAGAAGCATAAAATGAAGTTTACAAAATAGGATAACATGGAGATGTAGAACCACATGCAAAAAGTGCTACAAATGTTCCCTGTAGCATTCCCTATTAATATACTGGATTGCTCCTATAATGTTCCTTTTTAAATCTTTTAATATGTGAAACTTATCTTAGTATGCATGACATTTCAAGCATTCCAAAATGGAAAATCAAGAAAAGTCAAATGAGAATTGAATTGACTGGAATTAAATGAAGATTTATTGATCATCAAAGACAGCCAGTCATAGCAAAAGTCTAAAATACTGCTTATAATGTCCAGCTGTTCGACATTATGTGGTTTTCTTCCCATAAACTTCTAATAATTCATACCTTGATCTTGTTATAGATTATATTATATAAAATATCAAAACAAACATCTGCTCTGCAACAGCATATACAACCATCCCAAACAACAATCAGTGACTCTAGAACATGCATACACTGCCCCAACAGAAAGAGTCATCTAGTGAGAAGATTTTAGTAATGAATGCTGAATTTCATGGTTCATTTGTAAGTAACATATCTTATTTCTGTAATGAGTTAAGCAAATAATATAAGTAGTTATCTATGAGGATTATTTAGTGAAATGTCCTAAATGGTCACACTTAAAATGAACAAATTTACATGCCCTCTACAATGGAATTTCAAATTCCAATTTTTATCAAAAAGTGTTATGCATATTAAAGTAATAATATGAAAGTGAATTGTCAAATTGTAATTTCAGCAGCTTATAGGAAAAATGGCTAAAAATTTGAGATTATGCAAGATGTGTGGTCTCATTTTTGTCACACAATCAGTTTATATCCAACAAAAATCAAATCACAAATGCTTGAAGATATAATATGAATAAATGACAAAAACAGATTTTTTATTGTTAAAATTTAAAACAATAGAGGAACCATGTATTGCCAAACTAACACTTCAGCATGACAGACTGAATCAAATACTTAAAAAATAAATTACAAAGAATCACACAGATAACATTAGCTTATAGAATCTTCTTGTTTGTTTTGGAAGCATAAAAAGTAGACGCTACTGAAAGACAAAGCAGCAAATTCTCACTATGTCTTGAAAGAGAAAATGACTGCAGATGAAGGTTATAACAACCTTTTCATTTTAACTAAATGGAACAGAACATGCATTCACTTGGTGCTCACAAACTAACCACCACTTGTGGCTAAGTAACTTGAACACAAAATAGTATGTACAATCACAATGAAATAAAGTTTAGCTACACGACTGGCTCTTACTCAATCTAACTTCTTAATCAGCTGCACACAGCAAAGCCAAGCCTAAAATATCAATACAATCTAAAGTTAGTACAAGGATAGCACAAAAATACTCAGGTATAGATAGAGCCACTTCAACTATGCGGCATAAACTCGAAACTAACTCTCCTACTTAAAGCTCTTAAAAATACTATTTCCAACTCATTTACATTTGCACATACATAATTTAAATTTGCATTCTGGCAGAAACTTGAAATCAGAAGGGAAAGGAAAGTTTCTTAAAATAAAAATAAGTGGTGAAAAAACAAATGATGCCACTAATTATTACTCAAAATTCAGCTCTTCAATTTCATTCAGAACATAAGATGGCAGCATCATATTGTAATGTTTTACATTATCAATGTAAATTCAAAATAAGTATATTAAATAGGAACTGGGGAAAATCTTTGAGAACTTACCTTGTTTCAAAATCAGAGCTACTGTAGCCAAGTGTACAGTCAGAGCTGCTTGCAGCCCTTCTCGAACATAAATTAGGATAAGACGTAACAGTTGAGCGCCTTGATGTCTGATTAGCTTTTTGAGCAGCAAGTTCCCGAGCCCAATGCTGCTTTCTTAACTCTTGCATTCTTTTGCGTTTGGTAAAATGTGGATCCCTTTCGGTCATTCTAACATAAGATTTTGATGGTTGATTCACTCCCCATTTGGGTCGATCATTGACTGTTAAACCGTCACTGCACTGAGGACGGCGTTGTGCTTTATAAGGTTTGTTATGTTGCACTCGAATTACACGTTTCGCAACTGGACTGTGAAATGAACTAGAATTGCTAAAAGAAAAGAAATTTACACAATTAATGTTCAATAATGTATAATTTATAAAGAAAATATAAAAATAAAACTCAGTTTAGCCTGATGTTTGCCAGATTAAAAGTAATTTAATCTAATTAAGAACCAATTAACTCTGTACTGCTTAAGTTTTGCTCCCTAGTGTATAATTTGGAAGATAAATTAAAGGTCTTATGTGATATCAAATGCAATACTGTGGAAACAGGTTATTTGCTAACCAAAGTGGATTATAAATAGCACAGTAGTTTAACATTATATAATAGCCCAAAGAATTTGAAAGACTACTGAAAACATTCCTTATAAGTAAATAAAATAAATAAATTTTGGCATTTCATTTACAAACAAAAAATAGTACTCTGAAACTATAATAAATAAAGAGGGTGATTCAAAAGTCACACACATCAAACACACACAACCAAAAACTGGAAATTCCCCGATGGACACTAATGGCAAATTGTTTCAATGAATGACACCCCTCTACTGGTACATGTAATATATCACTTGAAAGTTTAGTTGCAGCTTTCACTGTTAGTTTTAACACTATAATTATGAAAGCAGTCATTTTGACCACAAATAAAATTAAATTCTTCATTATGACTGGAAGTTATTTCAATAGTTCTTCACTGTTTAACAGAAGGCTAACATGGCTTGGTGTATCAGCATCTTGACACCATTTGCTTTGGTTTCATTTTTATTTTCATACCAGGTGTTATTTGAAAGTTGATTGGAACCAATGTAATGTCCCCTTCTTAACGTGGTAATGTCCCAAACGTGATTCATATTTTTTTTCTGTCTGAAAGCTATAGTAAATTCTTTGCCTCTTGTTTTGTGTCCTCAGTGTACATAATTTCATTTCCAATTGTTCAAGGCTTCTTCTGATATGTAATTTCCTTTATGCTATTAATCATTTCACATACAGCCATTGGAAGAAAATATCTATCAGAAGAAATGGTATAAGTTTTCAAGAATTATCTACAGACAATTCTGCTCCTGAAATTAGTTCTCATGAAGAATCAAATGCATCAAAATTTATTCTATTTCATCTGATGTAGATTGGATTAATCCAACTATAACAAGTGAATCCAATTAATAAAGTAGCAGTTCTATTTTTTTCTAAAACATTTCACCATCTGGTTCTGAGGAAGAAAAAGACATTCCTTCATCATTTCCATATTGAACATAAAATTTTAGCAAAAGGAAGTTGTGGAGGTCAAGGATTTAACCTTGAATGATAATTTAATCAAGGACAAGGATGTAGTCTATGATTCAAGAAGACAAAAAACATAAGGAACAAGGTTCAGTCTGTTACAAAAATTAAGACAAATGAAGAAAATGAAACAAAAGAAAAGAAATAGCAAATGATGGTACAGTGTGGAAAAAAAAAATTATTTTAGCAAATTCATTTAAAGACTTCCTCTTTAAAATGTTTTGTAAGAAACAGGTAGGCAAGTTACTTTTCTGTTTGAAAAGTAATTGATAAGAACACAACACATGGGAAATTTTGATAAATGAAAAAATACAGCATCATATACCACAGTGCAAGAAACAGAAATAAAACAGCTGCATCAAATGTTGGGAAATCTAACCTGGAGCTTGTGACTTGTTAAGTTAGACAATTTTATTGCTCTGTTACATGCTTACAGCATTTTGGCTGCCAAAGGACTTCCTGTTTTGAGTCCAAATCTTGGGTCCCAAAATTTATCAATGAAACAGTGCCTACGGACAGATTCTTGGAAATAATGAAACATGTGTGCTTTGACTTAAAGTTAACTAAACATGAAGATTACAAACTGATCGATTTGTTCTTGCTTTAGGGGCAGGAAGTACCAGTAATGAGAACTCTTTATTGTGTTAAGAAACAGGTGAAAATATTACAATTGATGAACAATTGTTTCCTTCCAAGTTAAGATGACTCTTTATTCAGTATATGCCACACAGCAGTGATAAATTCAGCACAAAATTATGGCTTTTAGCTGATGTAAAATCAAAGTAAATGGATATCCTCATTTGCAAAAAGATGAAAGAAGACCAGATGAAGAAACTGCTGAGGAGCAAGCCATTTATTGGCTTACAGAACCCTTTTATGATAATGGAAAAAAACGTCACTACAGGCATTTTTTTTACTTTTTTGAATTTAAAAAATTAGAAATAAAAGAATTAGCTATGTTGGCAAAGTCAATCATACAAAAAAGATATCTCTTTCATTCAAATTAGGAAAGATGAGTTACAGTCTAGGAACGTTATCAAGTATGATATTGTTACGTTATTTTCTTCCTTGACATTCGTAAGGTGGTTTGTGTGGATTTGGAGTGAATAACGACAACACTTGATGAAGTATCGAAACACAATTTATTTACCAATATTAATCAGGACAGCTCCAAAACACTTTTACAATTGTCGATGAACTACTATAAATACGCTGACATGATCAGTGACACAGCCTCCAGGTTACCAGGCTATCACGGTGGAGACAGCTTCAGGGCAAAGCACTAGATTACAGCTCCCGACTCTGGTTGGTCGTGCTTGGAGCTCCACATACTCTCGAGACTCTCCACGCTAAAACTCGCGATGCACTCGACGACACACAGAGCACAGCTCCTGGCTCTTCGGTTCAGTCATTCCTGGAGCTCAACACACTCTCTCGACGATGCACTAACAGCGATATACTAAGAGACTCCTTCGGTGAACTCGATGACCCATTCAGCACTCACTGCCCGGCTGTCAACTCGGGATTGACTCTGCAGGGATCGATCCGCTAGACGAGACACCAACTTGATACTAACTAACTCGCACTCTAGACGAGGCACACACTACTCTGACTGTGGATCAGCAGGGTTTATACAGCTTTCGGCTTGTGTTCGAGAACATTCTGGACTAAAGCGATAAGAATTCGCTCCAGAAGGTTCCCCATCCGTCCATGGCATATTGCCAATTTTGTCACAAAAAAAAAAAACGATTTCTTGCCAAATGTGACAACCCTGCTTTCCCTTACCATTTTATGGCAACCCTAAAACTGCTTTGCGGGGAAGCCATTTTACCGCGCCTTAACAATATTCTCATGCCATATCAGGTAAAATGAACAAAAATGTACTTGTGAATACACTTCATTCAATTCTAAAAGATGCATCAAATGAAATAAAGAAGAAAACACCCAAAATTGCCCGAAATGGCCTGAAAATATTCCATCAAGTCTTCAGCTTATCTCAGCCAGCACATGTGATTTTAAACATCTCAATTTATCAATGATATTGATGGATCATCTATAAAAAGATTGCTGACAAGGCAAACATTAGACATCATTATTTTATTTTAGATCTGGCTGAATAATATGAGAAAATTACATTTCTTCAAAGAACTTCCGAAGGTTAAGATATGCCTTTCACAAATAAGTGTAAACAATGTCACATAATCAATGTAAGGAAAATAAAACTGTATATGCTTGTGCATGATGCAATAAATATATGTGTGGGCCTCGCATAGGGAAAATTACTAAATTAATCATTTGTGTTAATTTCAAAAACATATACTGTAAGCAATTTATTTCATTTTCAAAACTCTGTACATCTATACTTTATTTAAAAAAAATAAAAGGCAATACTTAATTATACAAATATCTAAATTTTAAAAAAAAAAAAAAAAAAAAAATTGTGGAGCACATAAAATTAATATTAATGACTGATATTGTAAAAGAGAAAAAACGATGCCATGCAATTCCTGTAGAATTTAAAAAAAAAAAAAAAAAATGAATATTTAACTCTGTAACAAAATTAATTTCACAAATTAAATTTTAACATTATTAAAAAAATAAAAAATTAATAGATTTTTTAACTAAGTTGCAGTCAAAATGACCACATACCATAGAGAGAGGTAAACTAAAAAAGGCCAAAATGCTAGTGTTAAATACTCTTTGTTTGGTGCAAGACTGGAGATGAGTTTTTCTATAGCAGAATGAATTTTTATGATTGAATATTACTTTCCAAAGTATAAATTTGATTGTTATGCCATCTTCCTCACACTCTTTACTTTTGACTGCAATATTTTATTTCTACTTCGGGCATTTTGACTAAACTCAGAAGAGAGAGGCAACAATATCTTTTCTTAAATTGGACACTTCCTGTTTTAAAAATCAGATTACCAATCAGAAAAGCAGTCTTTATATATTTTATTTATTTTAGGTTCACAAACATTTGGGAACGCGTCTAAACACTTCAACAGTTTTTCAGTAAGAATATGTTGCAAAATAATGCTCATTCATAAAAATTCATGCTAACTAGAAGAAATTCATAATAAATAAAACAAATAAAGAACTACACCAAATAAACAGTCTCTAAAGTTAATAGCATAAACTGTAAATGAAACGTCAAGTGAGATACTACTTATACCAATATAGAGGTGTCAACCATTGAAACTATTTGCCATTAGGTTCATTATGGAACTGTCATAATTTTTTTTTTAATTTGATGTACATGACTTTTAGATCACCCTGTTCAAGATTCGCTGTTTTTACTAATATAATGATAAGCATGAAATAAACATGACAATTATATACAAACCTTTCTGTCGATTCAGCATCATCCACAGAATACTTTCCATAGTGAATATCAGTCTGAGTTCCAAAGTCTCGCCTATGACCTGCTTTAGCTCTAACTCTAAATATGGAAGGTGTTAACACTCTATCTACTACATAAACTGAACTTTTTTCAGAATCAGAAACTGGTACTGTTTGCACACCAAGTTCTTTTTTGCAATCTGTGTCATGTTTTGGTTCTGGTTCATTTTTCAATGGACTATTACTTGATTTTAATGAACAAGTTGAAATGTTTTCTTTACTGTCTGTAAATAAAACTGCATATAAGTTATATACTAATATTCACAAATCTAGGATATTTTCTAATTCATTTTGACATCTAATAAAATATTTCATTTAATTAAAATATTTAAATTCAAGCAGGAAAATTTATCTTCTGCTCTGAAAAAGCATTTCAAGAATGACATGTAAAAGAAATTAAATGCTATTAAATGATTAAATGATCATTTATCTATTTAACATTACATCTATTGACATGATATAATGGCTTTCAGTACATCTACTGACATGAGAAATAATACTTATGCTTTTTCCACTGTAAAAATAAAAGTTATAAAATTTGTAAAGTTATAAAATTTTCAAAAACAGGAAACATAAATTCTTAAAAATCTTAGATGAATACTAGATATGGCATATAGCCTAATAGCTTATTTTTCTGTTTAATAATACATAAATCGTGAAATTACAAATTTCAAATCCAGAGGAATCTCTCTAAATAAGCAGCAATGGAACCTTGGATAAGAAAATTCCAAGTAAGATAATTCCCTTTATTTCAAAGAAAATTTCTCAGAATTCTAGATAAAAGCTTTCTCGAGACTATTGAATACATATTTCTAGAATTTACCTGCTCATGTTTTGGGATGACATCAGAAGAAATGCAGCATTTAAAATATTTTTTATTTATCAGCCACAATTAAATAAAAAATATAAAAAATTTTAAAAGATTTTTTTAATTTAAAACACGTACATGACTTTATATTTCAGAAAAACAAAATTAAACATTTAAAAACTATCATACATAGTCTTATAATAAAGTTATGAAATTCTTAAGTTATAATGGCATATAATTTATAGAATGTCTGCCAGCTGACATGATTATATGCATAGCTCCAAAAATTTGATATGTATAAAAAAAAGCTTCACAACATGTGCTGACATAGATGAAAATTTCTTGGTAAAGCTAATGAAAGTGTAGAATCCTTCATCAGCTTCCTTCCATATAGCTTCTTGCTTTGAGTGTCATCATCTCTATTCTTCTCATCATCCTTTTCCTTTGCAGTACATATCCAATCATTTTGAATCATCTTGAGAAAGTGAGACAGGAACAGAATTATCTGCATCGACTCAAGTTTCTTTTTCTTTACTAATACTAAGCTTCAGCAGCCTAGCAGCGGCCGAGCAGTGATGTTGCTGAACACTGGCAGTTTGGTCTGAGGTTCAAATCCCACGAACGGACTGGCTGCATGGCTGTTTTTGTGGTTTTTCACATGTGTAATGTGTATACAAGCCAGTTTCCCTTAGAAGTCCTCCGTGAAGGCTTGCCTCCCTTCAGGCAGATAGCCCTTAAGAATTTGTCATAATCACATAAAACTAAACCAAAACTAACCTTCTCCAAACACGCAATTAAATCCAAGTTTTGGCCAAAGGTGTTGGACATGCTTTAAAATGAAGAGACTACATCTTTCGACTCATCATCACAAATATGATCACAGATCACAATTTATGCCAATGGTAATGAAAAGCAATGTTCATTACATCTTTCCAGGCAATAGACTAAATAAATATGACATCTTTCAATGGAAATTGCTTCTTAAAATCATGGGCATTGCCTTCAAAGTTCATACATCAAAGGATAAAAAAGAACTATTAGTTTGTCTTTATATTCTGGATAATTCCTTGTTCCATAGGATAAATAAGGCCTGTTATATTGGGTGACAGACACATAAAACAAATGCCTTCCGTATTTAAATCTTCATATCGTTATCTCACGATAATATTTTTATTTCATAGCCCTAAATCTCAAATTTAAATTCAGACCTTCAAAAGTTCTGTTATTTTGACATTACTGGTTACTTAAGTATCAGTTACAAAAGGTTTTACTGTATTATTTACAGGTAAACACACTTTTAAAAGTGTCTGATATTTTTATGAAGGGAAACAATTTAAAAAATCTGGTATCAAGGGTTCTCAGTTTAAAATAAAATAAGATATTGAGATACATATCTAAAATTTTTAAACTATCAACTAAATATGCTCCCTACTGCATGTTGAAAAGAATCTGAATGTGTAAATAATAAGGTACTCGAACAAAGCAATAGTTTCCTAAAAAAATACTTGAATAAAGTGGAACGAAAGTGTAATACATATTTGTGAGTAACTAAAACTTTGTTTATGTGCTAGATAAGCTCACATTTTTAAAAGCATTTCATATCTTGGATAAATATCACATTAAAACACTGTTATATAATTACATACAAAATAAACAAATTTCATAATTTGGATTAAAATTTGCAATTAAGTATTTCAAAATACAAACCATTTGCATTAGTACTGATGACTAGATTGGAGTCCAAATTGTTTGTTAGAGATAATACATCATTATTTCCATCTTTCTGATCACTTGAAATATTACTTTCTTGATTTTCATGACTCAGTGGCAATAATTTTTGAATTTTTCTAGACTTTTTCTCCATCTCTGCCTGAGCTTGAGCTTGTTGTACAGCTGTAACTAATGCCTGATGCTTTTTTTCTTCAATTTCCTGGAAACCCCATAACAATTAAAAATCTAATTTATTATAATTTAATCCAATTAAAATCTAATAACTCTGCATGAGTCATATTCTGTTACATTAGAAACACATCTTGCTAATTACAATATTGTAATTAGCAAGATGTGTTTCTAATGTAATGCTACAAACGTTTTAAAAAATATTAATTAAATTCTAATCTAATGATTAGAATTTAATTAATTTAAAAAATATTAATTAAATGCATTTTTAATACTATTAGTTATATATAACATTAAAAAATAAAATAAAGATTTTAATTAGTAAGAACTAATTTAACATCATGAAAATATAATGCTATACTTTGATCTGATACATTGCATGTATCTGTATAATTAAATAATAAAGAATCTGTTTGTATTTATATTTGTATATGTCTCGCATTGTGGAAAAACAGCAGCACCCAGAGCCACCAAACTCTGAACACACATAGTCCTTCACTTGAGCATGTGCATCTCAAAGCCAGAATTTTGAATGTTTTTATTTCTTTTTTTGGTGAGGGGTATGAATTTAATGAAATTTTAATTAACAAATTTAGTGATTTGAAAGCCAGCAGTAGGAATTTTGCTTGAAATAAAACAATGCCAAACTACTGCGCTTAGGCAAAATGAAAAATATTTACATTACAATTTTAATCTACAAACTTAACTATTTCTAAATGCAATGTGCTGCCACCATCTGAAATAAAATTCTTATACCTTCAGCACTCCAGTATGTTGCCATTCAGTAAAGCATATGATGTTTAACATTCAGATTTAATCTATCTATTACTGATTAACAAACCAAATGATTTAAAGGCAATAAATACAGTTCCTTAAGAATATTTTTGAATCATCAATTTCAACAAAAATGCATTTAAATCATGATATATTTAACTATAATATTTCTAGTTAATTTTTTTATGAAATTACACTAACTGGACTCATTGAAATTATTACACAATTTTCCATTTTGTGATAACTATATCAGATAGCTGGCCATGAGAGCAGCTAGTCATTAAAATTTCAAATTTAAGGAACAATCACAAAATTTTGCATCATCTTTGCTTTTTGACATGACCAATTCCTTTAGAGAAGAGAAAATTACATCCCTAATATAAATAAAATAACAATTATGCATGAGTTGGTACACTATTTATTATTTACTTTATTTTATTAATTTATTTATTTATTGAGAATGAAAGGGATATTTTTAGAATTACTTCTATAGCTGATGCAATGTTTATTGTAACAGAGTACTTACAAAACAAGTATTAACCATCTTATCTCAAAACATGCATAAAACTCAAATTACTAATATATTCAAATCAAAATGCCATGCTCTAGTTGGCAGTACACAATATAAATGCTTGAAATCTCAAAGTCAAGAAAAAGTTAAAAATTCAAACTTCCAAACTTCCCAAATTCTGATTGTCTTATAAATTTAGCCTGTATGTCATCAAAAATTCAAATAACTGACCATCTAAATTAGCTAAACTATTATGCCGAAGGTATCGCAAGTCCTCACCCATTCAAAAAGTACATACGGAACTTTCTCATTCCCTACTGCATACCTTCGTGGAATAACTGAAAAAAAAAAAATTTTTTTTTGACTACCATCGATAAGTCAGGAGTTCAAATTCTGGCAAGCACATTTCTAAATCTTAATATTTCTTTCTAATCAACAGGTTGTATCTCAGAGTGTAATTCTTTTGAAACACAGAATTCTTTTGTAGCAGAACTCTCTATACAAGCAGAGTGGGCCATCATAAAAATGCCTTATTTCATTTCATATATGCTGTTTCCCTCCAACCTAATTTCAGAAATCACTAAACTCATTATCAGTCATTCTTTCTGTAGCACCATGAATAACGTTTTTACCTTTTTTTGGGTGACCATATTCCGGTCTTTTATTTAGTGTCAGGGCATTCAAATTATGGTCTTTGCCAGCTGCTTTATAAATACCTTTTACAAAGAGAACATATTATTCCTATTCAACCACATTGTTGCAAAACTTCTAAAAATATAATAATCACATTTCATTAGTAGTTTATTTTACGCGAATAAACGAATTTCTTAATACTTGATAAAAATCACTTGATTTACACAGAACACTAGGGGAAAAAATGTTCTTTAAAGCTAATTTTGAGATAGAAATAGTACCCCCTCCATAATATATCATGAAACATATTCTGTAAACTTTGGCCAGAAATATAGAACATTTATTGAGTTTGTAGTCATTAGATTTTCTGAAGAAAAGATAGTATAAACACAGTATGCCTTTGCTGAGATTTGAACATTGGACTTTCCAATTGCTAGCCAGATGTGCTTTCCAGTTACAACATGAAGGCACTAGGTAAGGAGGGATAAAATATCTCATATACTCTTTTTAAAAGTGGCAAATGGAAAGAAGGGGACCCAATCTCCAAATCCTGGTGGTGACAAATTATCTTCCACCACCTTTTAGTCTGGACATTACTTAGAGAGGCACTAGGTATTTTGAAACAGAAAGCATGTAAAATGTGCTATGACCTCATCAGAATTTGAACACCAGATCTCTGAACTACCACCTGGACATGCTTTCAAATAACATCATGAAGATACACAGTAAAGAGGGAGAAAATACATATAATTACTCACTATTACCTAAATAAATAAGTTTCTAACAGATTGGAGGTTGTTTAGGGATACAAAATACATACTTTTTTTTAATTAAATAGTTTTAGTAAAATGAACTAAAAAGTGATAAAACATGTTTTAGCTATCCCAACATTCTTATGAAATTTAAAATGAAATTATTGATTACAAATAATAATGTACATTTAAAATAATATTCGCAGATGAAAATTTAAATGAAGTAAACACTATTATTCTTATATGCATCATTTCTCAATTGCCATTTCTGTTGTTTCTTAAAAATTCTATTAATGTCTTTATCATGGTTTATCCGATATATATTTCATAATATTTCATCCCAACTGAACCAAAATATTGTGAGAGTCTAAAAAAAGGGTCTTACTTTTCATATATTTTAATAAAATTATATAACTTACAGACTTCTTCGTATACTTTTTATTTCCCACATTTTGACCAACAGAAGGGGAAAATAATAAAATAATCACTGCCTGCCTCTAAACATAGACAAATATTCTCTCTTACCAGCATAACACTGAATATGTACTATGACCTTTCTTTCTAACAAATCAGTTTTTCTTGAACTTTAGCTCCCATACATACTATTCATGATGACACCACAATGTTTCAAATCAATTTGATAAAAATTCATGAGCCTATGATTCTCAAGTGATAGCACATAACTCTAACACAAATAAAGGAACAATATTAACAGATTTTTGAGAAACTGAAAAAAAATTGGAATATTAATTTGGAGAAGCTGAATAAATTTAAAAGATTATTTTCTGATCAACTGGATGGTGCAAAAATCAAATTTTTTCATTGATTAGTTCAACTGTTAAGCAAAATAAAACATACATGAAAAAAATTCATAAAACAACTTCAGCATTAAAAACTATATCAAATTTTAAAGAAATCATATGGAATACTGTATTGATTTCATAAATAAATACGTATGCAAAATTTCAAGAAAACCAGAAAAATAGAAAAAGGATAAAAAATCAGCTTGAATATTTGATCTAAATAAATTAAACAAATTAAATTGCATAAATATTACTTTATAAGTTAATAACAATATGAAATAGACCTCAGGAGAATTCACATTTCTTATTTCTTTTAGCAATTACTTTGATGTTTTAATATATTTTCTAAATAAATATAATATGTAGCTTTCAATTCTTTTTTCTTCTGTTTAGAAAATACCTACTGCTTTTTGCTTTATTCTTTTTTGTTCTTCTTCATATTCAGCTTGTATCCGAGCTCTTTCTGCTTCCAACCGCTTTTCTTCAGCTTCTTCTTCACGCTTCTTTCGTTCTCTTTCCGCCTGCAGCCTTCGTTTTTTTTCTTCCATCTGAAGACGAATTGCTTGCTGATATTCTTGAGCCTTCTGCCGACGTTCCTCTGCCAAAGCAGCTGATACAGGGTCTAACTGAAAGCCTTGGCCACGCATGTAAGTTCTATATTCATGACACATACAAAGGGAGAAAAAAGTGGTAAGAAATAGTAATTCACTTAATAATAATTTTGTTTAAAATATTTCTAAAACCAAGTATCAAAATCTGAATTAAAGTTACAAGAAAGGAATTTTATTCATATTTATAAATTTAGCTTTCTTTAGATGCATTGTGAAAAAGTTATGAAATGTACCTTGACCTTATGTATACATATGAATTAAATATGCAGTTCTAAAACCTTAACTTACATCTATATTAAAATAATTTGCATCTTATTAACTTATAAATAGCCTTTATTTTAATAAAATGTCATAGCAGGTACATTAATAGTCAAATACCTTTTAGATAACTCAGTAGCACCAGGAAGAACAGAACCATCAACTGATACAGAGATACTTTCTATATCCTCTTTTAAATGATTGTTCCAACTAGGATCAGACACTTGAGACATGTGCAGTTGCTCTTGATATCTTCTGTGTTCTTCCCTTTGGTAGTCTAAAATATGTACCATATGTTTGCATATTGTATCAGGATAAATTCTGGGGAAAAATATTATTTGCACTTATACTAAGCTCCAGTGTTCAGAAATTGAGAAATATATATGGAATTCCAAAAATTATTTCTAATTAATCTTTAAATTTCTCTTTTGAAGGGTTTTGCATTTTTTTTAGCTACAGTCAAAAGTCGTTAATTTGGACACCCATAATCCGGACCTCAAAGCTTCAAACTTTCTACGCATGCGTGTAAGGCCTTTACGGCTGAGAATATGCTTGTGCGCGTGCGCAAAATACGTTTATGAGTGCGCGTTTAATGTATAACGGACAGTATACGCTAAGCAAAAATTATTTAATTATCTATTTCTGTTAATGTTACAGATTGCGTTGTTCCTTAATCTTCGAATTGGATCCAGCTTATTATTTTTTGCAGACTGTTAGAGCAATTTTATAAAAGTAAGCTTGAACTTTAGATTATGTCAAATAGAATTTCTGATATATATTTATTAATATGTAAATGATCTACAAAGCGAAAGTATGTTTCGAAGTTCATTAAACAAAAAGTGGAATTGCTACAAAAAATGGATAAAGGCATATCCTTTGTTTATCTAAACTTTATCTTTAACGCCGCGGCGCTGCGCAATGAATTGGAAGTTGATCTGTCAGCACTATCCTTATCTTCAGGGCAGATGTTTTTATTTTATTTGGCTTATAATTCCTTATTAAATGTAGTATTTTATTTCTATGTACTATATCTTTGATATGATTTAAATCAAATTCTTCGTCATTATAATTCGCTTCCGATAGCGAAGAAAGTAACAGAGGTTATTGAAAACGAAAAAATTTCAATTGACAAATTAGTCGGTATTCTCGACACAGCAGAGTGGAACTTTGTAACTGAACAAGAAATTATGTCTGTTTAAAGAATTAAAGAGAATGTATTATCACATAAAAAACGAAGCAACCTAAACAACTTACATTGAAAGAAATGTTTAATAAAGTAAACAAATAAATATTAAGCTTTCTTTTTCCTAAATTTTGATACCCTTTAGATCATAATTGTTCTTTATTTCATAAATTACGGTTTCATATTTTTAATTTTATAATTTCTGCATGCCATCTTACCAGATTTAAACTGATGATCTCTAATCCGGAATCGCCGAAGTCCCGACGAGTCCGGATTAACGACTTTTGACTGTATTAAACTTTTAATGCTACACTGATTACATGGAAATAAAGAATTCATTGTTTTTAACAAATGCCTTCTTTTATCAGTAATAGCCTATAAAATCTATGAAATAGAACTTTGCTGGCATATATGTATAGACACACACACACACACACACATATATATATATGCATATATACACACATGCTTTATTTTATTTTACATAAACAAATTTTTATCTTAGTAATGGTTTAAAAAATAATCAAAATTACATTAACACAGTACAATTTTATAAAATATTAGGTAAAAAATTGTTCAGTATTATTTGGCTTTAATGACTTAAAAAAAATTAAAAACCTGTATGATATCCTTCCTAGGTTCAGGCAGATAGTTTTCAGAACTTTGTTAAATTAAATAACCTGCTTATACTGCAGTTAAGAAATCAACCAAGCAAATGTACAATAAATGCTTGCAGTGTATTTCCTTATTATCTGAAGATTGGAAAATACTATGGAACTTAGACATGGTTTTAATAAGAGTATTTCAATTTAATATTTTAATAATACTTTAGTTTAATCTTGGTAAATAGACACAATCAGTTTAGTGTAAGTAGAGTTGTCATAGCCTGATGACACATCAAATATTTTCATGTGATTAGAAAAGCGAATAGATAGAATATATATATAAGAGTGAACTAACTTATGTTTTACTTCTAAGTAATAAAATGATATAATCCACTTTTACAAGTATTTATAGCTTTCATTACTTTTCTTCTAGGATCCACTTATATTTCTCTAAAAATGCATGTCCTAGAAATGCAATTTTTAAACAACTATGAAATTTTCAAGAGAAATGTTTTTGAAATTACGTTTTGCAAATAGAAGACTAGTGATTCAATCATTTTTAAAATGCTAAATTTTGATACTTAGTTTTCAACTGTATTTGTATTTTTGTTTAGGCATGATTTATTTACGTTATGATGACACTGATTTTGAAGTAAAAGTAAAAAGCAACTCTTAACAACACATTCATGACTACCAGTTTAGTAAAACTATCCAAACACACAAAAAATAATTTTGTTGCTTATCATGTACCTAATTTCATTAGCCATCTTATCTTATTTTCTTTCCATTCAACTTTACTTGAAGTCTTACTATAAAATCAGAACATAATTAATCAATTAATTACATGCATGAATAATACTTAAAAGTAAATGATCCTGTAAGCACAGGAAAATATAAGATTGCAAAAATGATGACACTGAACGTGAATTAAGTGAATGACATAATGCAAGACATATGTTACAGTTTATGTAGCTGGCCACGAGAGGGCACAGCGTTTTTTAATTTTAGCTTTTACAGCATTGCGGATTTTTGAGATAGATGTAGTGGCAACCAGAAAAACATGATGAATGTTCTAATGTAAGCAGACAATTGTTGTACATAGCTGTAAATAAAGCTTCTGTGTGATAAAAAAATGAAAAGGAATTCCAAGCGTTTCCTGTGGATATTCATCAAGAAAGGTAAGCAAAAAATTCACTTATCGATGTTGTTAAATGTAAATAATAAGAAAAAAGATCATAAAATGGCAACATGGTGCCGAAATTCCAAGATAACAGTGATCTTTAGATATATTGTGATTTAAGTATTTATTATTGTTCGATTAGTGATTGAATATTGATTATTAAGATGGATAAGTTAAAAGCACTAAAAAAGAAGCGAGGAATGTTAAGAGCATCAGTAACAAGACTGATAGCTAAAATGGAAAAGGAAATAGAACCGGATAATATTAAATTTGATTTATTAGAAAATGATTTATCCATCTTAAATGAAAATGAAAACAATATACTAATACTGAACACTGAAATCGAATCTATCCTAACAGATGAAAAGAAGTACGAAACTGAAATACAGGATAGCTTGGAATATAAAAATAAAATTACCTTGTGTAAATCGAAGATCAGTAGAATATTTAGAAATAGAAAATGTGTTAAATTAAATGAGTCGCCATCTAATTCTGCTACTATAGATACGGTAGAGAACACAAGTACAAATGGCGCTAAACTTCCGAAACTAACTATAAATGAATTTAAAGGCGAAATATGTGAATTTCAAAGTTTTTGGGCTCAATATACGAATCTGCTATACATAATAACTCTGCTTTAAAGGATGTAGACAAATTTAATTACCTCACATCTTTACTAACGGACACAGCTTTAATGTCAATAAAGGGATTACCGTTAGTTGCCGAAAATTATGCTAAGGCAATAAATATTCTGAAAGAAAGGTTTGGTAGAAAGGACATTTTAATAAACGCACATATGAATCGTCTGCTGAATTTAAAGCCAGTAAAAAAAATGGATGATATTAAAACATTACGTAACTTATATGATAGCTTAGAAATTGAAATTAGAAGCCTTGATTCCCTTAACGTTACTTCGAATTCTTACAGCTATTTGTTATGCCCACTGTTAATGAGGATACTTCCTAGCGAATTAGTTTTAGAGTTTAATCGATCTTTAACCCCTGACACAGAAACCACAGTGACTAACATTTTGGAATTTCTAAACTATTCCGAGTTTAACATTAGAGCCGAACAACATAAACATCAATCGCGAGACCTTATTAAAAGTGAGAAATATCATACTGCCTTCAAAAACAGACATTTTGTTCCAGCAGTTGCGTCGTTGAATATGAATACATCAAAAGCCGATTGTATATTTTGTGGGAAGATAGAAAATGAATCTTTGAAACATTCTACTTCAAATTGCGCAATTCCAATTGAGGAAAAAAGAAAAAATTAAAATTGGCTAACAGATGCTATTTATGCTTTCGTAAGTCTCATACTGCCCGTTGCAGCTCGGATATATACTGTGATTTATGTTCATTAAGGCATAATACTATTTTACATGATAATAAATTTGAAAATAAACGGGAAAATAAAGGTGAGCTTAAAACAGACACAGTGGTGGCGTCAATTTCGGAAAGAGATAACAAAAATAGGGTTTATTTACAAACTGCAAATGCAATAGCTTTAGGTCAGAATAGAAGAAAAAATGTAAGACTCATTTTCGATTCTGCCTCTCATAAACCTTTCATCCTGACAGAAGTATCAAAACAATTAAAATTAAGTGTTGTGGGGGAAGAAGAACTTCAGATTTACACCTCCGGCTCTACTGAGCCTACAGTTAAAATAACAAATCCTCAGAAACGAAAAGGAGGAAAGAAGCAAGAAATTTTAACAGCAAACTGTATTGTTGAAAATATCATTCCTATCGAGAACTTTAGTAACATAAAGAAAGTATATAGAATAACATCTTATGTTTTCAGATTTATCAATAATGTGAAACACCCAAAACTAAGAAGAATTGGACCTGTTAAGGCTGAAGAGATCAATGAAGCAGAGAATTTCTGGATCAAGAAAACTCAGGAAGAAAATTTAGAGAAGAAATAAGGAAATTAAAGATGAAACAAAGCATATATAGTTCAAAAATATTTACATTAAATCCATTTGTAGACTCAAATGGAATACTCAAAGTAGGAGGAAGGCTTCAAAATGCTGGGTTAAGCTATAATCAAACATACCCAGCAATACTACCTGAGAAGTCTCATTTCACAGATCATATCATTAAAGATTGTCACAAAGCGCAAGGACACGCTGGTGTAGTTGAAACGTTAACTCAAATTAGGGAAAAATTTTGGATACTTAAGGGTCGACAGTGTGTAAAGAGTAATATTAACAAGTGTGTGATTTGCTACAGATTTAAAGCTAAGCCACTAAGTCAGGATACTGCTCCTTTACCAATCGAAAAAATAACAGAGGCAAATCCCTTCGAAGTTGTAGGACTTGATTTTGCTGGTGCTATGAGTACCAAGGATGAAACTGGAAAAGCTTATATTGCTCTGTATACATGCGCTGGAACCAGAGCAGTGCATCTGGAACTAGTGTCTAGCCAAACAGCAAACAATTTTCTTCTGTCCTTTAGAAGATTTATTTTAAGAAGAGGAGTATGTCGAATAATATATTCAGCTGTACAGGAGTGTCATCCAGGACGAGATGGGAAAATAAGGGCTTGCACTGTCCGTTTAGCTAATGGAACTCATCTTCGTTGTCCTGTGCAGTTATTGTACCCATTAGAAATGACTTCTCTTTGAACTCTTTGAACTGAATACAATGAACTTAAATTGCAAACACTGCATCTATGAACATTTAAACTTGTAGAACATTAAAAACATTTAGTGTTTAAGATAACTTCAGAATCCAATCCTTTAATGAACCAAGAGTTCATCGAGGGAGAGGATGTTACAGTTTATGTAGCTGGCCACGAGAGGGCGCAGCGTTTTTTACTTTTAGCTTGTTATATTTTTCTTACAGCATTGCGGATTTTTGAGATAGATGTAGTGGCAACCAGAAAAACATGAAGTAAACATGAAGTTCTAATGTAAGCAGACAATTGTTGTACATAGCTGTAAATAAAGCTTCCGTGTGATAAAAAATGAAAAGGAATTCCAAGCGTTTCCTGTGGATATTCATCAAGAAAGGTAAGCAAAAATTCACTTATTGATGTTGTTAAATGTAAATAATAAGAAAAAAGATCATAAAATGCCAACAACATACATATAATTCACAAAATTCAGACATGCAGCTGTTCAATTCTCCACTTCCATTAACTTCAAACATATTGATGCTAAAAACGAAATTTTATTTGAATTTCTCTTTTATATTACATATTTTTATCATAAAATAGGGAAAAGTAAAAATACAGGGTATTTTGGTACACTTTAAAAACCTTGCCAAAGATTTAGTTATAAAAAATGGACAACTCAGGAAGTGTACGTGAAATCCTAGTTTAGTAGCAATTAAATTACAGTACCAAGAGGGAAAAACAACCTCCTTTCCCCCTTTTTTTTTAAGTTGATTATTGAGAAACTAACATAGATAAGTCGAAACACAGCATGCATGCATGTGCAACACATTAAAATTTTAAGTTACATGACCTGAATATAAATTTTGCTTAAAAAATAACTAAAATGGTAAAAAATGACATAAACTATAGAATTAATTATAAATATTACCCTACAAACTAGACTGCTCAAATGTACATATTTTTAATAATCTGCCCAGAGAAAATCTAAACGAAAGCATACATAACATTTTTACTGCCTCTATGAACCCACAAGTGATAAAATTATGTTTCCTCCTCTCCAATCACAAATGTCATTAGTAAAAAAGGATATAATACTAATTTTTAAATAAATACTGCTTTCTACCAAATATAATGAAAATTCAAGCAGTTTCTGTCAATTACTTTCAAGCTTTAAAAAAAAAAAAAAAAAAAAAACTAATAATACTGTTTTAACTTTAAGTTCAATGGTTGGAAAACAATTTTCTATTTCCCCTTATTTACTCATATTACTTAATTTTTTGGGAGGGGGGGAATATATTCATTTCTTTTTACATTCCCCAGCTATATAATTTTTTTTTATTTCTACTTTTATAATTTTTTATAAAGTTTGTAAGTATACAGAACATAAGAAACATGCAGCAGAAAAATCCATAACAAAACTTAATTTTCAATATAAATAGTGCCGTTAATCTCACCCATTTCTCGCAGCCACTGATGTCTTTTGTATTGTTCACTTGTCCCAGATTCACCAACATCATTCTATAAATCAAATGAAAAGAGTTTATTATATCATAAAAATATTATATGATATTTTAAAACTCGTAACATAAATTTCATTCATTAAAGATGACCAAGTATAAATATCTTAGATTACTAAATTTTTAGCTGCACAGAAATTTCATTTAGGAGACAACCCTTTCCAAACCAGGTGAAGGAAAATCATACTCTCTATGATTAAGTCTATCTTGAACATCTGCAAATACAGTGGTCAGCGAAAATATCTGAACGACTATGCATTATGCACGTGAAATTCTCTGCACAGTCAGTCAAATAAAAGGGATGGTAATAAGGTCAAATAAAAGGGATGAATAGGTGATATATAAAAAATTAAGTAATTCCTGTTGAATCATTGGTCCGAATCTCTCATGTCATGCTTAAGCCTACCATGAACATCTGCAAATACAGTGGTCAGTGAAAATATCTGAACCACTATGCATTATTATGCACGTGAAATTCTCTGCACAGTCAGCCAAATGAAAGGGATGGTAATAAGGTCAAATAAAAGGAATGAATAGGTGATATATAAATACTTGTGGACCATATTCTGCCAAGCATTAGTATGTGCTGCTGCAACATGGGCACAGGATAAGCATTTTAGGTGCTTCATTAGTATTACTGCCTGTATTTTCTAAATGCCAAGTTGGTGCCAAGATTATTGTCAAGTTCATGTTTACTTCTTGCGTACACTTTGTGGCTGCCATGTTCCCCTGATTGCTTTTTAATACGGCATCAGAAGCATTTTGTCATCCCAAGGACTTTTACACATGAATTCCATAAGATAAAATTCCAGATAAATGAGAGTGTGTTGTTGTTGTCTTTTCTTTTGCCACTTAGCTAGGCACTACAGTCTTTCAATATTTTGTCTATCAGCAGCTACTGTTGGATCAAGAGACTGAAATTTATGGTTCACAATAAAATGCTTGTAACCTGTTTTTCCTGCTCCTCATAGAACTGCTTCAATATACAGATATTTCTTTTTTTTAGAAAAAAGGCTGAATTGCTTCTCCCACTGCTTAATTTATATCAATTCCTCTGACCAACAGATAATATATTACTGGGCTGTTACTAACAGTTTCCTGAAACCACCAAAGCAGTTGTGAAAACATACACTCCTTACAACTTTTTTCACAGCACTTTCAAGTACTTTCCTTGTTTAGTTTAGTGACTATTTTTGCATACTTGAACGAAAACTAAAATTCACCTTTTTTTGGAAGAAAGATATAACATCTTCCTCCCTTCTTGGTAAATAAAATATTTTTTACTTTTTTTGGGGGGGGGGTGTAAGAAAATACATTTAACATATGAAATACTTCTATTCTTGTGACGAGAGAATTAGGAATGACTAGCGATCTGCTCCGGCTTTGCATGGGTATAAAATATTAATGGATATTTTAACAATGAATTGCAGTTCATAATCTTTTTCTGAACTTACATACCTCACCTTAAATTACGATTTTTGAAAATAATTTCCCTAATATTAAATTGATTTAACTCTAAATTTTAACCAAAATCTTAATAGAAAATTCCAATCCATAAATTATGGGTTTACCATCTTTTTCCGAAAATAAGACACTGTCTTACTTTCTTTTTTGGTACAAAATACGCGCTAGGGATTATTTTCGGGTGAGGGCAAAAATTAAAATATATTTATATATTTTTATTTAATATTTATTTTACACGGAATACAGAAATTTAAAATTTTTTCAATTACAGTCATGTCATCTTCTAGAACATCGTCATAAATAAAATTCTGAATTATATTCTGATTTTGGAACAGCTTGAGTATAGGACCCCATTGGCGATTTTTTGGTTTGGCGACCAGAAATGTCGCCAAGCCATGGAAAAGGCGTTAAAATTAAAAACGCAAATTAGAAAGCACGTTTTAACCAGAAAAAATTTTAGAAAATAAATTTTAAACAGCAAAAATTTGAAAAGCAACTAAAGTAACGTAAGTAAGTAGGGGCATATTTTAAAATATATTGGCAAGTTAAATTGTAAATTTATTATATTTTATTGCATATTGTAAAAGGAGTTAAAATTGAAAATAGATGTTAGAATGCACATTTTAACAAGAAAAATTTTAAATACAAATTTAGAATATATATTTAAACAATGAAATTGAAAATAAATAAATAAATGGAGGCATATTTTTAGCAGTCATACTGAAAATACAAATTACAAGCTGTAAAATTGAAAATAAGAGCTCAGAATACATGTTTAAATTAAAAATATGAAAATAGGAGTTAAGAATGCATGTTTAAATTAAAAGTAAAGAAAGTTTGAAAATACACAAGTACATAGAGGCATATTTTAAGCAGCAATATTGAAAATGCAAATTTTAAGTTATAAAACTGAAAACAGGAGTTCAGAATAAATGTTTAAATTAAAAATAAAAAAAATGCTGGAAATTTAGTAAAGTTTAAAAAATCATGGTAAATTTATAAAGAAATCCTATACTCTGCTCAATATATGTCCCTTATAATTTCTAGAAATTTGTTGAATACATCAATAGTTTGCTCCTTCGAAGAAAATGACACTTGCGACAGGGTTGCCGAAGTGGAGTATTCTAGAATTTACTGGGTTACCAGAAAAACAACCATCCAAAAAGTGCGCCAAGCCAAAAATCGCCAATGGGGTCCTATACTCAAGCTGTACCATATTTTTTGTCAAGAATTGCAAGATATCTTGGTTCAAAAAACACTAATTCAAATCACACATAACATCAAGATACATGAACACTACGAATCAGGTTTCTAAACTGCCAAGTTTATTCACGTCTAACACACATTCAACTGGCTGTGCCAGATCCAAGAACAAGAAGTATATATACATCATGAAAGATTTATGCCCTCTTTTGGCGATTAAAGTATATTTCCACATAAAATTTCTTACAGTACATTTAAAAGCCAGACGAAGGCTGGCAGCGAAGCTGTTAGTTTGTTTATATTTGAGCCGAATAGTGCGAGTGGGACCATAAGGAAACTTTTAGTTTTGTGCACAGAAATATCTGCCTTCTTGCCTGCTGGCCGAGTTGCTTGTTTTTGCGCAGAAACTATAAATTTAATTGTAAAAATTGTTTGAACTGTATTTGGTGTTTTATGTTTTTCTATAGCTTTCAATTTTTAATGAAGATATTTTGAGTTTTTATGTATTTTTGCCTTGCCGCTAAGTGAGAAATGAATTAATTGAATGAGAAATGTATCTCAAATGAAATTCGAGAAAAAAAAAATGTTTCGTATTAGGAGGAAATATTGTTGCCAGTCTGTCTCGCACAGAGGAGAATTTTTACAAGTTACACGGCGCTGAATTGTCTGTGGAAAAACTTTCTTTTTTTATTTGTCTAATTTCTTTTATATATGGTTTTAGATTTATTTATAGTATTTGAATAGGACATGTGGCAACGATTAGATAATTCTTCAAATGATATCATTTTTGTACATTGTGAGTTATAAAATAAATGAGATGCAACGCAGTTAAGTGAACCTAGCGCCAAAGTGTCGCTATGGTAAATAAAAATAGTGTATTTTTAAAGTGCATTTATTCTTTTGTGGTTTATGCGCTATCGACGAAGTAGATTTAATTCAATTTGATTCAATAAATTTAAATGAAATGCAGGAAAAAATGCATTTAATTTAATATTCCGATCAGAACAATTATGGTTGAAGTAGTGCGCGAAGCGCGCTGTTTCCAGCTCATGAGGAGAGCCAGTACAAAGAATCTCTAAGGAGAAGAAGTAAAGGTTCCCGGGCAAATGTGGCTCCGTCAGACCGAAGGAGTATTCTAGAATTTACAGGGTTAAAAGAAAAACAACCATCCAAAAAGTGTGCCAAGCCAAAAATCGCCAATGGGGTCCTATACTCAAGTTGTACCCTGATTTTCTTCCAAATCAGTTTCCTGTTGAATCATTGGTCCGAATCTCTCGTCTTGCGATATAGCTATCGTTAAATGAATACTTCTTGTCTAAGTAGCCTGTTCGTAGTGCATTGGAAACATCACTATCAGTTATTTTGTCCCATGAATTTTTTACCCAATTCACAACTTCTTGTAAGCCTGGTTTTACAAAATTACCTCGATGATTTCTCACCATTCTGTTTTTCAATATATTCATTGATTTCCATCCTGCAAATGATCCTTGAATGGCGGCTTGTTTATTGCAATGTCAAGTGTCTGGAGGTAACCAGTCATTCCTGCCGGAATCATTATTTGATCAATCTTCCTCTCAGCAAGAAAGTTTTTCATGTCTTTAGCGCGGTGAGTACTGGCTGAATCCCAAACTAGTAAACCTCTATTCTGACCCCTCAACAGTGGTGGCAGCATAAAATCAACCCACTTTCTTATAACTGCTTGGGTGCACCAGGCTTTTTCACTTTCAATGACATAAATTCCTGAAACACGTTGAATCTGGTCTTTTTTACCTTTAGTGATTAAAAATGGCGATACTTTCTTGCCATCTAGACAAATCGCCAAAATACAGGTAACACGTGCACTATCGTAACCGGTAGAAGGAACGTAAATTGACGAAGAAGCCTTGTGGTGAACTGTCGTTTGAGCTCCTTGGCCTAGGAATACCGCGGTCTCATCCATAGCAATCATGTTGGAGAGTTGGTATTTCGAAAAATCGATGCCATCAACAAAAAGCTTAAACGCAAGTGCACGCTTAACAACTTCATTGTCTTCCAGCTTAAACAATGTTGTTGATCTCCTTAGAGACAGTTCATATCGTTTAAGGAAGTTGTCCAACCAGTGTGACGATGCTTTAAATTCTTCTGTGGATATATCAAATTCAATTGCTGTTTCAAGGGCAAATTTTTGAATATCAGCCCTGCGCACAACCAAAGCCATTGCTCTCCTGCCTGCAATCCATTCCCAGATGCAATCTTCCAACTCAGAAAATAACGGCTGCCGACCTGATCCAACTCTCTGCGTTTTTTCTCATTTCCTTGGTCCACCAGTTGACACAGGTAATCGTAGTCTGCACGCCATTTACGAACCATACGGAGATCCAGCATCTTCTCTTTACAGAATGCTACAAGATTTACACCCCCGGAGTCTTCCACAATTCCCTTTTTGTACTCGACGGAATAGCTCTTTCGTTTTGTACTCATTTTAACTGGGTTTTAAAATTATTCACTTTTTTTTTAAATAAAATTACGTATGAGGAATTTGTGTCTAAAACTGTGCTCAGAGTATTTCTTTCCCCCTTTCACCACCTGTGAAAGCCTATTTAGAAGTTCTGTTCAAATCAGATTGAACAGTGTACTTCTCACACTGAAGGATGGGGAATAACAGCCCCCTAAGGGGCAACATAAAACATAAAGACTGGTGTAGTCCTTAGAGCAGATATTTTTCCCTTTGCACCCAACCCCACTTCCACTTCCTGCACCCAACCCTAAATCTATTGCAATCCATTACAATGTAAATGTAATTTTTAATTGTCAAGAAAAAGCTTTATATAAAGTAAAAATAAGGGTATTAGCTAGTATTTGAGATGTCCTTGAATTTTGTTTTATTATTTTCTTGATGGCCTGTAACAAAAGAGAAGAATTGAATCCTTAAGAATTGAAAAGATAGCATTCAAATCCCCTTGTTCGTTAATAGAAAGGGAGAAAGCTGTTGTGGATCTCATAAGATATGTTGAGGGGGTAGCTATTCGAAGAAAGTCCCCATCCTTTTACTTTCCTGAAACAGCCCCGCTGTGAACCTAATGCGACACCGCTGAGAAGATAAGTAACCCATCAATCACCCCTTTTGATTTTTGACTCATTCTGTGGGGGTTGGAAAAAGGTCGCTGCCTCATATGTGTCTCGGGGGGGTGGTTACGGTTCAGCCCAAATTCCACCCCGACGAGAGTCTGTCGACGCTAACGGATGACGATGCCTTTCCTGTGAACCTATCTCTCTCAAGGCAAACGGTGAACTAGTTAAGATAAATTCCAAGAATTAATTTGAAATGAACTGTAGAGGTGAACAATTAATTTCTCGGAATATTTTGTTTCAAACATTTCTCTGAAATACGAGTATTAGGAAAGTCTCCCATCAGTGCAAAATAAGGTGTAGCATGATTCATCTGACCACATTACCCGTTTCCAATTCTCAGATGTCCAGCATCTTCTTTCTGAACACCACTGCAAATAAATTCTTGCATGCCAGGGTGAAATGAGTGGTTTTCTCACAGCCACTCAACTATGCATTCATATCCTCTGTAATTATCTGTGCGTGGTTCAAGCTGAAATCTATTGGGAGGAGACTTGGTTGATGATCTGTGTCAGTTGCACCACAGTAGAGTCCACGTTCCACCATACTATTTGTCTGAGACGACACTGATCACTCTCTTGGAAAACTGTGCTCGAACCACAGTTACGTCTTCTAGAAAAAGACTGTGGGTTCTGGTTCCAACTTTTGAAAAACCTTTGATATGGTTGCTTTTGAGAACCCAGTGAGATTTGCTGTCTTCAAAATCGAGGCCCCCGCTAAAAAGGTACCAACAATAAGCCCTTTCTCAGATGGTAAAATATCCGACGTTTTTCCCATTTTACTTCATTCATTGTGAAAAACACTCTTACACCTTCCTTATACTAGCATTCTAACCATGTGTAGCCCATGTCATAAAAAAAAAAAAAAAAAAATTTGCATACTTCATTCCTAGCACGCATTCAAATGAAAATCTCAAAGGTTTCTTATTCATTGGCCAGTGTGTGTATAAAATAACATTAATATGAATTCTGATAATCAGCTTGGCAAGATCATTCACTGCATGATTCAGTTAATTTTTTGCAAGTTTTGTGGTCTTTATTTCTTGCACATGCAGTGCATTTCTGATATATTTCAATTCACACTTTCAGCATAAAAACTGCTCATATAAAAATTCTATGTGTGCTTAAATTTAGTTGCTGCCTGATATTTAATCTTCCAAAACATATGAATAATTTTTTAATGTTCAATATGGCAAAATAAAATATAAATATACATGAAATATCATCATAACCTGGAAGTGTTAACATTATTAAATATGAAACAGGGATCAACAGTTCAAATCTCCGTAGAATATAATCATGAAAATAAATTATAGTACATAATTTTAACTTATAAAACCAAAATAATTTCTTACGCCAAAAGCAATGGAACTTTTAAACACAGGTGGCACAGGTTTGATTGGTTGAGCAACACAACTGTAATTTGTGAAATTTTTATTGGGCAGAAAATTATTATGTTCTAATGCATTGGGTAAGTTTCGGTAGACATTTGGAGATGGAAGGCAACTAGAAATTCCAGCAGGCACAGAACTGGTATAGGGCATGGCAGCAGAAGTCTGAACCATCAGCAACTAAGTATTAAAAAATAATAATGAAGTAATTATTTAATTTTTCATATATATTATCAAGAATACAAATAAGTCTCCAGTATTTTTCATCAAAAATTGGACATTTGTTAAGTTTTATTCAAAGTACTGTCCATCGCTAGCAACTATTTTTCCCCATCTTTCTTGGCAGCATACAGATACTACATTGGAAGAATGCTTCATCTTTTGAGGCTATCTACAAACCAACCCAATTTTTGCTATCTTCGTATGATGTGAAGCAGCTAAGAATGGCCATGTATCATCAATCGAAACTAGTACTAATCAGAAGGAGCAATGTCTGCTAAATACAGCGGGGGGAGGAAAACTTCACATGTAAGTGTTTCCAAGTAGGTTTTGACTGCATCACAACATGTGCATAAGCGTTATCATGCAGGAAAATAATTCTGTCATATCTGGACTAGTAGTAGGCACATTTTTTTTTTAGTGCCCGGCTCAGTCTCATCAACTGTGTTTGATAGAGAGCACCTGTAATGGTCTGAGCAACTTGTAATACACGATGCCAAGCTGATCCTCCATATGCACAGCTTGATATTTGGCTTGGCTATTGACGTTTAAGCATGGCCAGGTGATCCCCATGATTTCTTCTTCTTCTTTGGGTTATGTTAATAGATCCATTTTTCATCACCAGTAACTATACAATGCAAAAAACTCTTTTTTTTATGCGTGTAAAAAATCAACATTTAATGTTTCTCAGTTTCAGCTCGTATGGAACCCAATTTCCTTGCTTTTGAATCATTTCCAATGATTTCAAACGATGTGAAATTGCTTGTTGAGTCATTCCTAATGTAAGTGCAAGTTCTACTAGTCTTTGGCAGGAATCTTCATCCAATAATGCTTTCAATTCTGCGTCTTCTTACAGTTTCATCGTTCTGCTACAGTCGATGTCTTTGATGTCAAATTCACCAATCTTAAAACTTTTAAAAAACCACTCAGACAGCTTCTCTCACTTAAGACAGCCTTACCATATGTTTCTACAAACAATGAGCCTTAGCTGCAGAATTCTTCATATTAAAGTAATAAATCAAAAGTTCCCACGAATGATGCTCATTCTACTTAAAACTTGACAAAACAAATATATGAAGCTACTATAAAATCGCTAATATTTCAAAGTTATGTTGTTAGCAGATGTCCAACCTGCTAACGATATGACATTTCACTTCAGATAATTGACCATAACTTACTAGTGGCACTATTTTTTGTCAAACAGTGGAGACTTATCTGTACTCCCAATAACAAATATTTTTCATATATACTAAAAAATATCATCTGTTATTATTTATTACTGTTATTCTTGTATTGACAAAGTAAATAAAATTTGAAAATGATCATTTAAAATCATCACATTATTTTTATAATTTGAAACAATAAAAAGAGCAAATTTATATGTTTTATACCTTAAAATCAATTTCTTCATTTTGTGATAGATAATTAAACAAAATTACTCCTTTTCCTGCCAATAATAAAAATTCTGTATTTTATATAAATCTTTCAGCTCTCTTCAAAGTATATGAAAGAATTAGAGACGTATTTAAAAAATTAATCCAGTTTGGTAAAAACAATAGACTCAAACTTTCTATAGATGTTCTAGGCCTAACAATTTAAACTAACTGTATATTAATAAGTGTTTTAAAAATTACTTTAAATGAAATATACTAAATTTTAAAAACAAAATCTGGTTAGATACCTGATTATTTGCTCTAGGAGTAATTGGAGCAACTATCTGAGTTTTCTTTGCTGGTGCACCTGCACCAGGTTTTCCCCAGGGATTCCAATCAATCATTTCAGCTAATTAATGACAAAACATATTCATTCAATTAAGAAATATGATGTATCTTCAAGAGAACATTCCAAGCAAATAGAAATGAAGATTTACTGAGCTATATCTGTCGAGAATTTCTTAATATAATTGCCCAATATTTTAAAAGATTTAACTTCTAGACTGGAAAGTAAATAATTCAACTTTATTAAAAAAAAAAAAAAAAGAATATACTTAACACTTGTAAATAAATGTATTGCTTTTCCAAGAAATGCATTTAGTTCTGAAATCTTTAAAGCTAGCAAAGCAATAGATAATAAATAAAAATATCAATAAATAAAATAAAAATATTTCTCAAATACAAAGAAGTTTTACTTGGTGATCATTCAGAAAGTGACCAGCATTTCCGTTAACACAAATAAACATGGGTACTGATAATTATAATACTATTCTCTAAGATAATCACTCGCTAACCTCCTGAGACCATTATGTATGTAGACATTTTGCTGGTTGCCTTAATAACCTTACTACTGCAACATGACAAATAAAAAAGCAGATGATACTTCTGGGATAAATACAAATTTATCAGTTATTTGTTTACATAGTTATTATTTTACATTGTCTTATAGCAGTAGCATTTTTTTAATCATTTTAAGAGTTAGTTACTCTGTTCAAGGACACGAACAAAATTATCACTAGGGTGCCAGAAAATGGTACTTTTCCATTTTGCCGGCGCAGATGGTAAAATCGCCAAAAATTATAGAACTGATATGAAAAACCAATGAAAATTTTGGATTTACCCAGAGCAGAGGAAGAATCAGTCAAATTCTTTCAAGGGAAAGGAATTTTGCCTAAAATTGCTGCTTGTGATAATAATCATGAAATGAAATTGTATTTCAAATTCAGTGGCGCTGCAACCTTTCACTTTGTCGCCAGTAAAAGAAGTATCTGGAAAGACCTATGGTTTGAGTCATTGAAATTGAATTTCTTGAAGTGTGTGAAGTTTATTTATGGCTGGAGTGAAGAATTTAGTTAAATGGTGTGAAAAATCAGTTGGTTAAAAATCGGTCACAAAACAATTGTGGACTGGAATAACTACATGTGCGAGGTTTGTGTGGATTCTTGGCTTAAATGTAAACAGCAGAAAATTGGAGGACCTGGTATGATCGTCAAAGTGGATGAAAGTATGATCCCGAAGCACAAAAACAATGTGGGGCAGATTCTATTGCAGCAGTGGGTATTTGGTAGAGCTTGCAATGAAACAACAAATGTTTTTTTGTGAAGCTGGCAAACTGATCCATGAGCATTATATTAACTAAGGAAAATATCGGAAAAGGAGCTATAATATATTTGGATTCGTGGAAATCATACTGCATTGAAAAACCGGGAGTTTCGAACATTTCAAAGTGAACTATAAATACAATTTTGTTGATCTGGAAACTGGAATGCACACATAAAAATTTGAAAGACTATGAGAACGCCAAATCAGGAACACAGAGGAATGGCACGCCTTTATGTGAAAAGTTATCTCAAATTTATTTGGAGAAGAGAAATGAAAGACCCATTTGTAAATTTAAAAAATTCTTAGAACTAATATTTGTTAACATTTTTTATGTCTATACTGTGTGTTGTTGCCAATAAAGAGTCTGCTTGGCAAGATTTGCGCTGGTGAAATGAAAAAGTACCTAGAAAACTTATTAAACTGGGAGATACATTTCTAATTCTTAACACTAGCTGCTCAACTTTTAGTCTGGTGAGTTACTGATGCTAGACTGAAGGCTGGCCTTGCAATTGGCCAGCCTACTTTTAGTTTAATAGAAAATTCTAGAAAATGACCTAATTATCCTTTGGTATGATTCTCATTTCCAGTCTTTCCATTACGAGAGAATAGTTTTATAATATGTGAAAAATCTCAACATTTTATATTTTGTATGCACTTCTGTATCAAAGCAATAACTGATAACATATCCAATAAATTAGCAACTCAGTAAAGAATATATTTTAATTTTACCTCTTTCTTTTTCCCACTGAAGGCGTTTCTGTTCAACTTTACTTAGTGGGGATAACTTTGATGGTGATAAATCAGTTTGAGGAGCAGACCAACTTAATGAAGTTGGGCAAGATATAACAACATCAAGAGGACAAGGCACATGAAGTTTATTACTGCTTTCTTCAGATGATGGCACACAAGTACTGAATGAAAAAGTATTTTTTAAATACCATATTCTGTATTTATTTTTTAAATGTAAAACAAACTATGAAAAATAATTACCAATGCAGTACAAGATCCAAAATCCAGACATCCAGTATCCGGAATGATCTAATATTTGGATCTCCTGACCACCAGCAATTTTATTTTTAGAAAATTTTCGCAAAAAAAAAGGAAATTAGATTTTGAGAGTAACATATGCTTAATGTTTCACACATGCAAAGTAGGCAGTTCTTCATAAAGCATGTGGAGGATTCTGACTCTTAATTTCACTTCACCACAAAATAAAACTATTCTAAGATGGAAGAAATAATCATTTATCAGCATTAACCTCCATGATCAATGATTTGGGTCTGTAACGTCGTTACTACTTGGCATACATCTCAAACCAAAACATTCTAGAAAAGCTTGTTGATTTTAGTGAATATCATACAAGCCTTACACCAACCTGGCAAATCAGTCACCAGGACTATCAACTCACGCAGCTTGATAAATGCCTCACACAGCAATGTCTAAAACAATTTTTGTTTAAATATCAGTAATTGAATACCAAAAAGCACATTAACCTTTTATGCTGATTTTGTGTTTGGATTGCAAACTTCAACTTACTGCATTGCAAAGTGTGAAATATGTTGATGAGGAGAAATTTAGCAGGCATTCATAAAAATAGATGTTGTAAATTATATTCATAAGCTATTTAGTGCTGTTTGATTTATGAAAAACTGATTTGTTGTTCCAATCACCTACCACATGGTGTGTGTGTATGTATGTGTTTGCCATCTTATATAAACTATTCTTATAACTGGAAATTATTTACGATTAAAAAATCCATGGCACAATTAAAAAGACATGGCAGGTATATAATGGAAAAGTAAAGCCTTAAATATGTGTCAGAATTTATTTCATTGGGACTCTGAAAAACCTGCATATGCAAGAAATAGATGTATAATGAAACTCAAAAAGTAAATAATCAGACTAATATAATTCAGGCTTAACTTCCTCAGCATGCAATAAGAGGAAGACAAATTTTAGTGAAACAATGTGGCTTCAGTCGCCAATCTCACAATACATCCCCAGTAATGTATTGTGAATGCTCACTAAGCTTTATGATAGTCACAAATTGAAAGGTTTTGGGATATTTAAAACAAAAAGCAAAATTTTTCAATTAATGGAATTTGTGAAGAAATGTGGGGAACTGATAATAAATGAAGATGGTATAACAGAAGTATTCCAGAATTCCTATAAAGTTCTATCAGCTTTTATAAAAATTCTTTACAAGGGAATGCCCCAATAATTTATCAACCTATGGACGGCAAAATCTATAATATAGTTTCAAACCCTGAACAACTGCTACCAATAGTCAAGTGACAGAGGTTGCTGAGAATGAAAAAAATTTTGATTCCCGATTTAGTGAGATTTCTCGATATGGCAATTACAGGGCTTGGTAATTGAACAAGAAATTATATCTATCTGTAAAATAAAACAGAAAAGTATTAGTACAAAAGAAAGAAGCAACTTAAACAACTTACATTGAAAGAAATGTTTTATAAAGCAAACAAATACTGAGGTTTGTCTTTTGCAAATTTTGATTTCCCTAAGGCTATGATGCTTCATCCTTTCATAAACAACTATTTCAGAATTTTAACTTTATAATTTCTACATGTCATCTTGCTAGATTTAAACTGATGATCTTTAGTCGAGAAAATTCTCAAATCTAGAACTGCCAAACTCTTGTTGAGTCTGAATCTAGGATTTTGTACTGCATATCATTCACAGAGATTCCACTATGAAGATTTTAAAATAATTAACATCACAAAAATGAAATTTATTTCTTAAATGAAATAAAATTCAGTTTAACAAAATATAACAGTAGTATACATAAAAGTCTGAATATCTGCCATTCAACTAACCAGAAAGCTCAAGCAAACAGGATTAAAAATTTAGGATTAAAAAAATATATTTTCCCCCCAAAAAATTAAATAAAATTTGTAAAAGCACTACAGAGCTAGTTATATTACTAGTACACATTGGGTCACCAAATACTGTGATTTAGTGCCAAATATGGATAAGCATGATGTTGTAATGCAATTATAAGGAATTTTGCCTTGGTTTCATACAAATCCAATTAATTCCTCATAAGCCATTTTAATTAAAAAAAAAAAAAAAAAAAACTTCTGCCCTTTTTTTTTTGGGGGGGGGGAGAATGATTAATATTTAAGGTCAGCTTTCATGAGACAGCATGCAATAGGGTAGTTTCTAAGTTACAGAATAGTGGCATTAAAAAAAAAAAAAAAAAAAAAAAAAAAAAAAGGGACGATGTGCAACTTTATTTGAAAATGAATGAATGATGGTGATGCAAGGTGAAAAACTGCACTAAGCAATTTAAGTCTCCCTAAGCTATATCCACAGTTTGTTTAAAGAATGATCTATTAAACTTCTGGCAGAATAACTCGTGCAAATCTGGTGACATCTACATTGGCTTTCATATTCAATACGATTTCACAATCAGATATGTTTTACTTTCATATTTAAGGCCTATGAAATACATAGGCTTAAGTGTGTTTTGATATTCAGGCCGGTAAGATACAAAGGTGACTGCTTTTATAATTTCAGACCGTAAATTTCTTCACTTGACTTTTCTAGCCCAAATTCCAATTTTTTATATGCCCTAATATCCCGAATTTTTGCATGTACGAAATATGCTATTTCACAAGCTGTTTGGATAGTTAAGCTTTTACTATAACGAAATAAATCGAAATCAATGAATATTTCGGAGAACATAAAATAAATATAACCAAGATCAAAATCATCTGCAGCCATCAATGACACCTTAGGGAGGATTCAATGCATTTGACATATATTTATAGTGAAAATTTTTAATAGTTTCACGAAAACATTTAAAAAATTGCTTACGATTTATATCAATTTTTAACACTAATTTTTAAAAATGAAGTCCACTTTTTGAAGTGAAATTCAAATGTATTATTTCTAAAGAACTTTAAACAATATCAGCTTGTTATTTTTTTAATTCATTGAATGATTGTTTACTACAAAAAGGCAACATCTTTAACACCAAAATTTTTATAAATACGAGGTTTCATATGTAAAGTAAAAAATGAATCAATTTTTTCTTCAAAAAAACATTTATTTTCTGAATTTATACGTAATTCTTTATATTTCTACATAATTTTCTTGTCATTTTATATATTTAATGTAATGAACAACAAATTTCTGAATACGCTCCGTATGGTGACCAACCACTTGTGATTAAAACCACTTGCAATCATTTTCGTTTTCACATCAGTGTTTAAATACTTGCAGGTCAGGAAGATCTTCAGAAGGCAAAAAAAGCTAACAAATTGTTGTCACCATACACTTCGCATATACGTTGATAAATATCTGCAGCTTTCAGATTTCTTATTGTTAAAAATTGAATTGACTGTATTACACAGCTGGTAGGGCAAGATTATGAAGCCCAAAGATTTCCTTAATATCTTTCGCATTATGAACAAGATATGTACTTGAACATGATATGTACAAGCCAGTGCCATGAATGAAATTGGCATCAGATTCTGTGTAAAGAATGCATCTGCACACACAGTTGTTATCATACATGCATGAAATTTCAAATGCTACTCACAAAATGGACCTTACTTAACAACTAATGTATGTAAAAACAAATGTATTTAAAGTGAACTACTTACCTTACATTATTATACATATTTTTCTTTGGACTAGAATCAATGCAATTATTTTCAGACACAGATTTGGCATGAAGTTGATCTTCATTTTCATGGCAAGGATATATTTTCTCAGAGCCATTTACACCTAACAAAGAATAAAATCAAGAAAAAAATTCAGAGAGGTTGAGAGAAATGTACTTTTACACAAAAATCTATGATATAAGAAAACTTAGCATTAGTGATTAAAATGCATTAAGTTATTTCAATGAGCATCTTAGCATAAGGATATATTTAATCCTAAACTTGATTTGCTATAATATAATAAATCATACGTTTTGAAAATCAAAATTAAAATTTTGAAACACATTTTAAAAGCTAATACTAAATACAGGCTAGTTTTACTTTGATTACATAAAAATAATGCATTTTTATAAACTGATGTGAAAGGAAGTGAATATTTTTTCTAGAATAGCATCTCAGCATAAGGATATATTTAATCCTAAGCTTAATTTGTTACAATATAATAAATCACACATTTTGAAAATCAAAATCAAAATTTTGAAACACATTTTAAAAGCTACATACAGGCTAGTTTTATTTAGATTACATAAAAACAATGCATTTTTATAAACTGATGTGAAAGGAAGTGAATATTTTTTCTAGAATACTTTTCCATCTGACATTAGTTTTCATACATCAGACACTTAAAATTAAAAACATCACTGATGTTGAATTGCAACAAAAAATTATAGAATCATTTCGAGTTTTAACACTTTTTTCAACATGTACAATATTTTGATTTTTAAACTATTAAGGAATTCTTTGAAAGGAAATTATCTAGCTTACAGTCTACGGTACTCAGAGGCATGTTTAAAACTAATCGAAATCAAAATTCCTAGTTTTCAACCAAAACGAAGACAATTAGCTACAATAAGAACAAATGATTACTAAACAGTAGCAAAATACTATAATTGTGAACAAAAGATTAGGAAAAAATTTCCTTCCCAAAGATCTTTTATTTAAGTTGGGTTAGGTTATTTGAATATGCCAAATCACATAATGACTATCTGCCTAAAGAAAGGAATTGTTTTCTGGAGGATTTCACGAGGGAAACTGGTTCATAGTCACTTTGCACATGGGAAAAACCCTGAAAACCAACCATGCAGCTGATCCATTTGTCTGGAATTGATCCCAGGTTGAACTCCTAAATATTCATTTTTAAATACTCAGTGGAACCTTACCTATTATTGAAACTTAAAATTTTTCCTCCAAAAATTATAACTAACTGCAAAGCTTAAATAACCATAGTTATTAATATATTGCCCATACTTCAAATCTCATTCTACAAAGTTAACTTTCTATGGATAAAATGTATTAGGCATAATTTAAATTAAGAAATTATGTGTAATTTAAACAAACCTAAACACAGTTGTAATTAAAAGAAAAAGTGAAATGTTAATAGAAAATATATTTATTACTACTTGATAAATGTGTGACACAATTACTTTTTTATGAAGCTGTTGATTTTTGCTTGAAACAATGACTAAGGTGACTCAAAGTTTCATGGTAAAGCAGCACCATGTTTTTGAATGCCTTTCATAAAGTGTCCTTCTGTTTCTTCCTTTAGACTAATTTTCACTACAAATTCAGGCAATTCTTAAGTGATCTTAATAATTTGTTTAACTTATTGCAATTAGGTGTTTTATCTTCTTCATCATCTCTGCGTTTACTGTCAGCTAGTGTTTAAGATCATCTAATTCTTCATTTATCATTTCTTGATTAAATCCCTGACTTTTCCTTTTTCCATATCAGTAAACCTTTTGCTACGGGTTTAAGGAGATTATTGAAGTATTATGAAGCTTTAAGGAGATTCCTTTAAATGCTAATAAGGAGTATTATAATATTCAAAGGATAATCGTTAATGATTTTCATGTTTCTATGGCTGAAAAAAATCAATGGCAAACTATGAGCAATATCATACTGTCAGATCCATTAAAGCAGTACAATTGATCAAAGATGTTCCTTTTTTCTTTGACACTGATTATTCAGTAATTTCTAGAATGTGGAAATATTTCCACATAAACCAAAACAGTTCTGTGGAGACTTGTGCTTGGTTGATCAAGAGTTACATCCCTTCTGAGTACATCTTCTACAGTAGCTAAGCAGAATCAACGAAAATGACCTCTACAACTAATACATGCACAGTTCCAGCATCACTCAGTAAGACAATATTTGTCAGTACACCTGACAAATATTGTCTTACTGAGTGATGCTGGAACTGGGCTGTACACCTGAGTACCAAGCGTTTGAGTTCCATTAACCATTCATCCCAGAGGAGCAAGATTAAAGTGGTGTTATCAACATATCAAATGGATTCTCTCAGACTGGGATGATGTTTTGTTTACAGACAAGTCCAGATTGGTCTGCAGAGCTGTAGCTCACCCAGAGACAGCTGAAGATTTCACTCTCCCCTTCTGCTTGCCAAGAACAAAAACCATTTCATTCTAAAATTTCTGGGCTTTCTGGAATGCTGCAGCCAGGGCAGATGTATCCCCTTCTTCAACCTAATTATGCCACAGGTGCCATGGATTCAAAATGTTAAGTATGTAATTATTTGGAGAGAATGAGGCACACTGTACCAGGTCTAGAACATAGCAGAATATCATGAATTCAGAAATGGCAGTAACCATGCTGTGGGTTAGCATTTTAATGGGATGTTGCACCCAGCTGCACATCTTTAAAGAGGGTTCTGTGACAGCTGTGCAGCATCAGCTAGCATTTTAATAGGATGTTGCACCCAGCTGCACATCTTTAAAGAGGGTTCTGTGACAGCTGTGCAGCATCAGGATGAAGTCCTATACCTCTCTTAACTGGTCCAAATTTCCTTCTTGTGGAAGAAAATGCCCATCCCCACTGAACCAACATTGTTAGCATATAACTGGAGAGTGAGTTTATTTTTGTATAGAGTGGCTGCCATATTTTTCCAACCTTAATCCAGTTGTAATGTTTAGGATGCCTTGGGCCTGGCTCTCCATGTTTACCTCTTCAGAAGTCTCAGATTGTTGGAAACTGACCTAATGGAGAAATGGCCATTAGTAGCATCTGTGGAGGCTGATCACCTCAGTGAAAGCATCAGCAATTGTAGTTTGTGTGAAGGTTTGGGATGGTCAGAAACCTTAAGTTTTGTTTGTTTGTTTTTTAGCTTTAAATATCAATCTGTTAATGATCCAAATGCAACATCATTATATAATTTATTAAATGTAAGTATTATTTTAATTACATTACATAATGCTTGTTTTATTTCAATCATGAATACCTTTGCTACATTCATGTACAATTTGGTGCTTAAGAAAATTTTACTTTTTCATTTCTGCATGCTTAACTTCTGAAACCTATTAAAAATATTTAAATATATGAAACTCCTTTGTGTCTTACCCTTGTATCCTATTAGGCCTTTTAGGATCATATCTGTCTGCATTTTAGTTTCTAGTTGTGCTATTTTTATGGTTTAAATCTGATGGGTCCAAAATCAGAAAACCCAACAACTTCATACAAGAAACAAACACTTACGAGTAAAATATATGCTGCAAATTCAATTACACAAAATACACCCTAAAATTATCACAAACATTTCAACAAATAAATAATAAATAAATAAAACATTGCATAGCATAATAATGACATAATGAAACATCAATACAATTCAAATAGATTTAATTATTCACAACAATGTTCAATTAGCTATAATATGAAATTACAATCTTATCATCATCATTTTAAATGCCATGGTCACTGTTTTGCTAATGAATGCCAATTTCTTGTAATATAATTTTTTTCTTACAGTATCTGTGTAAAAATTTTAGCTAAATAATTTAACATTAAATTTTCCATTGGACAGCCATTTCGCTTATCTGAGAAAATGTACATGAAACTCTCAAATATACATGAAATTTGGATGATAGCAATTACTTTAATATATATTATTGATGTGACTGAGATTACTGATATAAATGACATCTGATTTTCTCCATTTACAAACAATACCCAAAACTGTTCTGTACGCAAAATAAAGAATCATCTGGAAAGGGCTCAGACTTCCATTGTCTTCAATCAATTGTATGTGCTTGAGTGCTCTTTTCTCTGTTGTAAGTGGGAGATTTAGAAATTACTCACTGGCTTCATGTAGATACTTGATTCAGGAAACTTTCCAAACATCAAAAGTGGCTGCAAATAACTAATAATATGAGTAATTTACAACTAGTTACCTCTCAAGACATCTCATTACTCAATCTTTGAGACATGGAATCCACTTAGGGACCATTCCACAGTCTAATACTTTAATACATACATCACCTGACTCAAAGTTATCAAAGTTTACCCAAGACATCCTAAAAAGACAAATTCACTGTCATCATCATCATCATCATCATCATATTAATCTGATTCTACCATTATCTTGACCAACCAGAACATAAATTACTCGCTTCACACACACACAAAAAAAAATTTAAACAGTATGCTGATTTGATGATGGCAGAGATATGATAAAATCTGGTGAAAACTGTATGAGGTTTTGGGTTAAATAATTTTTTTAATTTAATTTATTATTATTACACATTTTTTCTGGAAATGTTTTAATATATTTTTGAAATTTTTAGACGTGAATAAAAATAATATATTTTAATTATAAAGATTAGCACATTTACTATAAATCTTCATATCAAAGTTATTATGCAAGCAACCAGTGCTAGATTAAGATCTTTAAAGGTCCTTAAAGTATTAAAAAAGATTTTGGTGCTCCCACATATGTTTACGCCAGTTTCTCTTCATTCTTCTATCTCTTGGTTTTGGTTTAGCTGCACCATGCATTTGATGGTAAACATGGTAGTGGGAAATATTTTAGCATCTCCTTTCCTGATATTTAAAGACTATGTTGTGATGCCTCTTTCCCTTGATGGCCTAAGCATGTCTTTATATTCCTCAATGCTGAATCCCATTCTGAACGCAACAAATATTTTTCTATGCAACAAAGATATTTCTAAATTTCAGATAGGCATTAATTTAACAGTTTTACTGTCTATTAAAAGCAAGCCTTGAAATCGCAACCATTATTAATTCAATATATTACACAAAAAGGAATTTTTT